GAAAGATCACCTTTGAAACTCGATCAGGGTAAACGCATGTTTTGAGTTCCATAAGATACCACCAATCCCTACCCCCACCTAACCCTTAAAAAACCCTCAAAGGGTTGAAAATGCCTATTGTTGTTTTTTGGGAATACGTATCTTGAAATTAAAGCTATTTAGGGAAAAATATGAAGATAGAAAAATTTAAGCATATATATATTTTCCTATAAAACCTATACCTATATATTTTCCTGTACCAGTGGCGGAGTTATGATATTAATTTTGGTTATTTTTAAAAAGACTAATTTTTTAATTTCTGATTGAAATAAAGACAAATTTTTCAAAAATATTTAGTTCATTAAGTCACTATGCCAAACAAAATTTATATATGTTACGGCCAGGAAATTGAAAACCAAATAAAGTCACGGATATTTAAAAATGTCAACATAAATTAGGACCTCTAAAAATGTTATTTTTGCCATGCACGCCATTTCTGAATGCGATACCACATCAACAAATGACAGATTAAGGACCTTGACGTTCTCTACCAGCAATATGTAGTACAGCAAAATTTAAATAAGGATTTTAATTTAGCATAGCTTCCACCGGCTCTAAAGGCAGCTCAGTACCAATTACCATGTGTTTAGGACTTTTTAACAAGTATTTTCTTTGAAAAGATTAATTATGTTATTAAGAAGTTCCTAGCGAGTTCAGAATTTTGGACTTTTTGTCCGTCCGTCCGTCCGTATGTGGACAAGATAACTCCCGAACGGTTTCGAATTTTCCAATTCTGTTTTCAGTATTTTGTTTATCATCACCCAAGGAAAAGATGTTCAGTGATCCAGGAGCTCGTTTGCTATATTTGTTACAAGTTTATTCTTATTTGACTCTATCGCTTCAATTCATCTGTAGTTTCATTATACCTTCTTTACAAAGGCCTCAAAGCTGGAAAGTAATACTGACCGGGATGATTTTCATTTTTAGTTTCAAACATAGCTGAATAATAACTTACCAGTGCAGGAGTGGATCAAGACATACATGGACCTCGAAAGGGTTCTAAAGCAAATTTTTTGCAACTGTTCGTCAGGCGGTTTCAAAAAAGCTTGCTCGTGGCGAAAAATTGATCTAAAGTGTACCCTAGCTTGTAGAATTGTAGACAGTTATAGAGTCTGACGAATTAATATAGGTATAGAAATATCTAATTAGGTACCGAATTAAGAACTTATGCTATGTTAAGTATTCATTTGCCTAAACGGGTCGTATTTTAGTTTCACTACCTCATAATAAGTTACCCTACTGCACTGCATAGATACCTACTGACTAAGTACAATATATTACAATATATTATCGTTTTAATGCATTAAAAAAGGGATTGACATAAAAAAATTAGTACTGCCACTGTTATGATTTTTTATTTCATTAGAATAGGCACGAAATGAATGTTCTTACCTAAATATTTTTGAGAAATTTCTCTAGATTTCACAAAAAAAAATAAAAAATTAGATTTAGTTTTTAAAATAAAATTAACATTATGACTTCGGCACTGGTACAGCACCAAACCTACGCTTTCATTTGTCTATCTTCACATTCTTTTGCAAATAGCGTTGTTTTCAAGATATTGACAAAAAACTTAAAAAAATCCCTTTCAAAGGTAGTTTGAAGGTGACAGACACGGCGGATCACTTATGGGGTTTGGTGGTATTTTAACGACTCCAAAATCAACTTATTTACCAAATTTCAGCTTGTCACTAATTTTTTCACGGTTAGACTGGGTCGACCCTGACGCTTTGGTGTAATCGGGGTTGGAAAGTTTCCACAATTTTTAACATAAAAAAAGGGATTGTATGACATAAATTCCCACATCAAATTTAAAGACAATTAATTTCTCTACAAAATGGTATTTTTACCTCGAGCTAAAGTGCAACTATCAGTGTTCGAAGCATTGTGTTGTGAATTTTCAATCGTTTTTAATATCTTTAATTCTTGTTATTTCCATTTTAAGTTACACTTAAAGTAGTTAGAGCGCCTAGGTAAAAGTAACAAGAAGTTGGTGAAAATTTGGTCACTTATTCTCTGAGAGACGCACTTTCTAATGGTCAAAAGAAAAAAGTGTTCCTATGTGCCGTTTCTGAGATATTGGACAGTAAAAACAGGGTATTTTAACATGGGCTCTTTTGGACAGACTCAGTTTTTCTGAGCTAGCGAAGGTTTTTGTATCAAGATATGTGTAAATAAATTCCTTATTCAATTGTCTATTCATGTTACATTGAAATGAAATGACTGAACTCTGAACGGAGTAGGTACTATACGCGTGTAGGGTAGGGATAGCACGTTATACTTTATCATTTTTAAGCTCCACCTTTACTGGCAGTTTCGAATACTTCGTCTCCTACCGCTGCGTCCCTTAGAAAGTACCTACTGGAGCAGCTCCCGATTACTCTTAACCTATTTCGTTTCTTCATCAATCTTCCAAGTCTTGTCTTTACTTTTATAATTGCCCTGACTCTTGGCTTAAAAATGATTTCAATTTCAATAACTTAGTTATGCTCACACATTTGTATAAAGCGAATTAAATCTTCAATGATACGCAGTTGTTCGTAAACTCTGCGTACAGCGTATTTAAATTGACCGCACTTGGGCCCTGAACTTGGCTTAAAGCTGAATTACATTTTCAAAGAAACGTGGTTCTGCGTTGACTGTCAACTGTGGTAAAAAGCGACGCTAGTCTTGTGCAAATCCTATATAAAGCGAAACCCTTCTTCCGAAAATCAAAATTATAACAACCTACAACCAATCATGACACAGTTGACAACAAAATCTATCCCTGCTACCTTAGTGTAAAGAATAGTACACTATGCTGCTACGTACGAAAAAAGACCGAAATAATAAAGGCGGAATAATTTTACTAAACAAATTCTTACCAGACTAAAATACTAGGAAAAACAAAAAATTCATGTCTTTTAACTACACGGAAAAGGCGATAAATCACACCACTTGTCAATTAAATTAAGCATTTCCAATTGATAACAGATAAAAGCAAACAAAATTCCCGGAAATTCTACGTTAAATAAAAATAAATTGTAAACAAAAACAACCTTGAACGCTTTCTCGGCTCGTATGACAATAATAATTTCCATGTCGTTACAATACACCAACGACAAATAACAAAATTTGATTATGAAAGTTAATTACATAAGAAGAAGACCGCCCTTGTCGATCTTAATTATGATTTCCAAAATTTCATCCTGCCGGACGAAATAAATAGCAATATTTTGGTGGAAATTTATCCACAGATACTTTTAGTAAAGGCAAACATATCGCATATAGTAAAAATCATATGTGCGCATGGGCAGAATTTTCTTATTTACGGAAATATTTCTTTGAAATTTTAACCAAAGATGCTTATCGTGAAAGTAAACGTATCGCATATTGTTAACATCAGATTAATGTGCGCATGCGCAGAATGGCCAATATAAACTGTTTTAATCACAGTTTAACCATAGACGCTTCTAGTAAAAACAAACATTGCATACCTATAGCATAAATTACATGTGCTCATGCGCGAACTGTACAACGCCAACTTTTTTATTTATGGAGATATTTCAATTTCTTTGAATAACTGACTTTAACAGCCTAAGTACCTGCTGATAATCCTCCTAAGTAAGTTCCGGTATCTACCATTCAATATAATATACCTATGCCGTTTTTGAATTCTCCACCAGCGAGCTACAATACCATCCTAACCATCGTCTAGTGAAATCAAAAAACAAGCCTGAATCTTTGGGACAAAATCATACCGTTGTTACTGCTGATCTTGCAATATACAACACAGCACAAGAGATACCTAATGTGGAGTAACCCCCAAAATTTACAGGGAAAGGTACCTATTTGTACCTATATATTTCACCAAAGAACTGAGATACATGGAGTTAATGAATTGTTTGAGATTTTACAATGCAACTCGGCGGAATGCATTTGTAAACTAAACGGCCTAAATAGCTAGTTTTGGTATTCGGAGAGAAATTTCTTAGTATAGTAAAATCTCTTACGCATCGCTCCTTGTTTAGCGAACGCTGATGACTATCCTTCCCTCTTCGTCTCACTCGCGATTACCGACTCGGCGAGGTCGGTAGGTTTTTACTTAAATGACCGTAACTTTTTTATTATGAAAAATTCACGGTAATGTTATAGAAAATAAAATAATCACAATGCTTTGGAGCATCGAATGAGCTATAAATATTGGAAATCCATATCGTGAAATAAAAAGTTATGAGAGTTCAAAGTGCGCACTTTTCATCTGCTACACGAATTTTGGAAGTTGACGGTCATTTTTCTAAAAACTGTGCATAACAAGGTAGGTAAATATGAATGCTTTAGATTCTGCTATAAATGTACTTTCATTTTACAAAAGGAATTATTGATGTATATCGCTTAGTTGCTGAGAAAATAAATACTTTCGGTGGTCTAGTCGCGCGCGCGAAAATGAGTAAATTTCAACTTTAGCGGCCTATAACTTTTGTCAGGACCACGGGAAAATGTCGTAAAGCGAGATTCTGAAGGTTCAAACATTTCTGAACAAAATGGTGTGGGTCCCAATTCTTTCTACTCCGAAAAAAAAAACTACCTCAAATAAGCGAGTTAGCGCCGGCTCTCCGCTGCACTAGTACCTCTTTTCTCCTAGATCTCTTCCTCATAGTCTCCTTCTTTACGGATAGTTAGGACTCCGCCCTAGTCTGAGCGGTATCCATTCTACTTTTATACTCATAGTAATCATAGTGTCGACCTTTCAGCTTCTCTCGTACACTGCCTTCCGCTGTTTTATATAGCATGATGGCCTGGTTTGCAAGTCATCGACTAGGGTAACCTCTTCTGGGGTTTTCCGACTGGTTTTTATTTTATATAGTTTCCTTGAGCTCTACCAATTCATAGCAAACTGATAAAAACTACTGATCGGATGAAATGATGACTCTCACTTTATTTGTTCTGCAAGCACATTTCATAAATCTACTTACTTTCAGGGGTATCCCGTCGCATAATTGGAGGCCGTCCCGCCAAAGACAAAGAAGTTCCATACCAGGTATGTAATAGCGTCTTGCCACAACTACCTTCAAAGTTTCACTATTAAAGTAAAGTGGTATGAAAATGAAGCATTTTGTTGGGTTGTATAAATTTGTGAGAAATGCGACCGAAAGCGCAACACGCGAGTTCTATTTGCTTTCTCATGAAGTTTCGCTCATCGATAAACTATGACATTTGTTAATTATGAAATGCTACATTGTCGCAGGCTGTAGAGCACAGTCTGAATCGGAGATTATAAAAGCTAGGGCTCGGTAGCTCGTCTGGGCCGAATTAGACAAGCAAATAAAAAGATGAGCGCGACTTTCCAGTCCTTAGTATCTACTTGGTACCACCTCTAATTCCAGAAGATGCGGAAGAAAGTCAGTATAGTCCGGGAAATAGAGACTGAAAATGGGCCATTTCCTGCAAAACGAGAAGTAGTTCCAATTTTTTTGCATGTCATGGAAAAATAGCTGGTAGTTAAGAATCCAAGTTTTCGACCTCCCACCCCTTGTGCTTCCCCCGTACCACCCTTAAAACCAAAGAAATTTGGTTGGTTTTTTAGTTTTTCAATCATACCTTTTTATAGGTTCACTTTACAAAAAAATATTGTTATCAGAAAGTGTGGACTATAAAATTCTACACAACTTTGATATACACTACTTTTTTGTGAAATGTTTATTAAAAACGATATAGAGCTTCAGAGTTGCTTATATTTTTAAGAATTCTAAAATTTGTATGCAGATGTTTTAACTAAATTTTATACTTTATCTCTATAATTAAGAGTTTTATGAGAAAATATCTTAAACCTATCGTGGTATAAATCTCCCTACCCTGCACCCTCACCAAAGGGGATGCATAATAATTCAACTTTCAACCCTTGCTACTGGGGATATTTGAATCACTGTGAAATTGTAGCGCTTTCTAATATACGTTTGAAACAAACAAATTATCTCACTTTAGTTCAGCTTCATCCACCCCCCCTAGGTAGGAATAGACATTTAAAGAGGATTATAAAATATTTGTAGTAAGCGTTTCTGACTAACTTATCAATCGCCACAAGAGCGTTAACATATCTATTCTTACCGACCGTGGGGGGGGGGGGGGGAGGAGGATGAAGCTGAACTGAAGTGAGACAATTTTTTAATTTCAAACGTATATTAGAAAGCGCTACAATCTCACAGTGATTCAAATATCCTCACTAGCAAGGGTTGCAAGTTTCATTATTATGCATCCCCAAGCTCTATCTTTTTTTAAATAAAAATTTCACAAAAAAGCAGTGTATATCAAAGTTACGTAATATGTTATCGTCTACAATTTCTGATAACAATATTTTTTTCTAAAGTGAACCATTAAAAAGATATGATTGAAAAACTAAGAAACCAACCAAATTTCAGGGGTTTTGGGGGGTGGTACGGGGGAAGCACAAGAGGTGGGAGGTCGAAAATTTAGATTCTTAACCACTCTATGACTGTCTATGACATGCAAAAGAAATCGGAACTACTTCTCATTTTGCAAGTTAAAACCCTCTATTCCCTGGACTAGTAAGTGATCACTGGTTGAACTTTTTGTTAATTAATATACACGGTGTTACATTTAAGTATGTAAAAAAAATTGTATGGTAGAGGGGATCAAAACAAGCATTTTTTTCAAAGAAACCGAGGGTTCAACGAAGTAGTGAAATTTGCATTTCTTCTTTCATATTTTTCTCAGCAACCATAAGAGTTGCGAACTGGTTGCACGTCTTTGAATAGGTTTTCGGATAGGCCCTTTCCGATTTTGGAATTTTTTTTTCAAAATTCCTACCACGAAAAGGCGCACCCTTAAATGGAGGTGAGAAAAAATTCCGATTTCGACGAAATTCGGTATTTCGAGGTTTTTGAACACGAAAATCACGAATATGAAATTAGGTTTTGAAAATTCAAAAAAAAATCCACTGCAATTATTGGTCGGACAATGAAAATGGAGAGAATTCCACGAAATTCGTTGTGTGTACATACTTGATGAGTTTAAAACAAAATTGTCAAGCAGTTTTTAGCGCATTTTTGCAAATTTATTTGTAAAAAGTAGCTTTTAATCTCACTTTGGCTGGCTGGCTGGCTGGCAGCAAATGTGGGCGCGTAGAAGAACTCTTGTAGAAAGGCAACGGGTGTACGTGTATCTACAGGGCCGTGAAATTTGTAAACCATGGGGACATGGCTACATGATGTGGGGTTGGCGACATCTGGGCGTCATCCTCGAGCGTAGTATACTAAAGTGAAGGTTTTTCAGTTTTTTCTTATCTTCTACTACAGTTTTGGTCCGATTCTTTTCAAATTGGTGTCGTCGGAAAGATGTTGTAAACGCGCACAACTCCTGCGTGGCGGAATTTTGTTTTTTGTCATAGGGGCGAAATTAACGACCTTTTGCGAGGCGCGCGCGCGCGTCTACGAGAAGTAGTCAACTTCGGGCGCTTTTTACCTTCCGTTGCGAACTCACGCGGTTTAACGTTTCGTAAATCTCGAATCGCTGTCTCTCTTTCTCGTGTCGCCAATAGAAGTGAATTGCGAGTGAACGGGACGTCGGAAGTGGGTACCGTAAAAGAGAATGTGGTAACCCGCGACACGATCTCACTGATGGTGGAGTCAAATCTTCAAACGCGAATTGCGGGTGAACGGGACGTCGGGAGGCGGTACCGTCAAAGGGAATGTGGTAGCCCCCGACACGATCTTACTGATGGTGGAGTCAAAACTTTAAAAGCAAATTGCGGGTGCACGCGGAAAGTGGGAAGCGGTTAGTGAATGTAGTAGCCTTCGACAAGATCTGTTATTGATGGTTGAGTCGAAAGTGGCTAATAGAATACTGATCTGCCACACAAAAATGCGCTGAAGTCCCTCGATCTCAAACGAGGACTTTGATAATTTTTTAAAATCATGATCCAAATTTACTACACTTCTCATCGAAATAAAAACTATTGAAGATATTTCAAATTTCTTTTCATATTCTTTTTCAGCACGAAAATTTGCAACTTTGCCCCCATTTAACCAACTTTCTATCTCTTAAGATAAGTGAGATCTCCATAGTGGCACTCGAAAAATGGACACCGTGTATAGGCAGAAGATTAGGGCAAAATATGCAAACAGTTGTAATGTATATACCGGGTGGTGCCTAGCGCGACGCAGCATAGGGATTTCAATGGTAATTTCTTTATAGTCAATTACTAGCTCCCCTAGTTATTTTAGAGCAAAAGTCTAAATACGTTTTTTTAGAGAAAAAAATACTGCATCTGTTCATACTTCTAGTTATAACTTTCCGTTTTTCAAAACCGTAGAAATCGACAAAATAAAAAGATTCATTTTACAATAAATCAAATATGCCTTGGAATTACCTAAAAAACAGCGATCACGTTTCATTATTTACCTTTGACGTATATTAAATTGATACTTGTTTATTAATTAGTTAAAGAACTGCAAGTGCAATAACGTTCAAAATGTCCGTCAAAACCATCAGGAAAACGACAATACAGTCAACGTTTTGGCTGCAGTAGCGGAAAATCCGAATATAAGTTTAGGAACAAATCTTCTAAAAAAACATTACTCTGATGCCTTTTATCGCGTCGGTTAGTTGAAACAGAATTAAATATGAAAATCGTTCGCCGTCAAACAACGATAACTTAGAGTTTAGACGCGATGCGCTTGTACCTAGTTTGTTAAAAGATTCCAAAGCATCACTGATTTATAAAAATGTAATTTTTTATTTTGTCGATTTCTAAGGTTTTGAAAAATGGAAAATTATAACTAAAAGTATGAACAGATGCAGTATTTTTTTCTCTAAAAAACGTATTTAGACTTTTGCTCTAAAATAACTAGGGGAGCTAGTAATTGACTATAAAGAAATTACCATTGAAATCCCTATGCTGCGTTGTGCTAGGCACCACCCTGTATATGCAAAATTGTATATGATACGATACGACAAACGCTAGCAATAAGATGTTTCTCTAGTTTTCTGCATTTTCGGATTATGCAGTGAAAATAGTGTTCGAATATGGATTTAAAACCCCAGAACAATAAAAAAAAACTATAAAGAAAATGTATGCCTCTCAGGCGCACCTAACGTCCCTCAATATATGATTCCTCGCAACCTAACTAGCCAGCAGTCAATAACAAATCTCCAACACCTTTTTTGGACTGATCTTTTTCATTCAAAGCCATCACTGGTAATTTGACAAAAAATCAAGATAGAAATATTTTAATGAACAAAATTGACACTCCATCTCTAAATACGTTTGTGGAAATTTCTAGAATGTCTCATTTAGTATTAAAACATTAAAATTATTTCATATTGGTCAATTATAAGGATCTATTTCGTACATGTTGTTGACAAAAGGAATTACCAGAAAAGTTAATATACCATTTTCAGACAGGTGATGTATAGATCTTTTGGAGACAGCTGAGGTCTGCAAATGCCACATTACCATTACGTGCCACGTACATACAACTAGATCCAGATATCAGAAATAATGTCGTTTACGTATAGCTCTCGCCAGGAAAGATTGCCGGTCACAGCACACCTTGTGTCAATTTACAATTTATGTTTTTTTTAAGATGCGAGCGACTTCCGGAATAGGATCGTGCCAATGTTGAGCGAAAAGACTTTTCGTTCAACATTGCCACGATCCTATCCCGGAAGTCGCTCACATCTTTAGAAAAACACAGATTGTAGACCGGGATCGGGTCTTCTGTGACCGGCAATCTTTCCTGGTGAGAGGTTTATGTAAAAACGTTTTTATTTGTTACTCAATAGTAAACGTTGATTAACAAAACTAAACGCAAACAAGTAAATGTTATGTTTGAACGCTCCTGACTTGTACCACCAACACATTTTTCGCAAATCCATTTACAATGTCTTCACAAATTAAATAAAAGTAATAATTTTGCATTTTTATAATAATTTAATAATAGGCGCGCCATCTATAGCGTAAGCAGTCTCCCTGATAAACATAAAACAATGATGCAAACTAAAATAATGCACGGTATCACTCAGTAGACGTATGCATATAGTCTTTTCAGTTGAAACTTTATGTTTTTAGGTTGGACTAAGGACGAAATACTACAACAGTCATTTTTGTGGCGGATCCCTAATTTCGCCGTTACATGTTTTAACGGCGGCTCATTGCTTATGTATAACCATGCTAGGAAAAAATCACCCCCGTCCCGAAACTTCTTTTTACATTATCGCCGGACAGACAGAATTGCAAGTAAATGAAAGTAGCATTATCCGAGATGTGGGGCAATTAATATTTCATGCCGGTTATAATGCAAAAACAGTGGCGAACGATATTGGATTGGTCAAAGTAAAAATTTACACACACGTTACTAGTTTTGTGATGAATGTTTTAGATGACTTCAGAAATACCACTTAGTCTAGGTGGCTACGTTAATAGAATACCATTCGCGGATACATCCGTTACTTCAGGAGTTTGTGTTGTTTCAGGATGGGGAGTTACCCAGTATGTAAGTGTAAAGTGTACGGACGAGGAAAGAAAGTTTAAACACATTTTTAGGGTATGAAAATAACCTCAGAGCAATTGCTTTTAGTTGAAGTTCAAATAATTAATACGACCATTTGCCGGATTATGTATGAAAAGGTTGATGTATCGCTTGTACCTGGTATGATGTGCGCTGGAATATTTGAAGGAGGTAAAGATGCTTGCCAGGTACGTAGCTAAACCATTAGGTACAACAACAAATTTAATATGTTCATGTGTAGGGTGATTCAGGGGGACCACTAGCTTGTGGAGGAAAGCTTGTAGGAATAATTTCAACTGGAGAGGAATGTGGAGATGGCAGATATCCTGGCATATATTCTGATATACAATATTTCAGGCAATGGATTAAAGATAGCATGCGAGATATGGACATTGTATCCGATTCATCAAGTACAACACCGGACACTACTATATCAAATAGCACTCCAAGTAGCAAAATTTCCACAACTCAATTATTTACTCCAACATCTACATTGGCTGCAGTCACAACTGTGTTTAGAAGGCCTTCTGGTAGAACGGAAACATTAACTGAAATATTTCCAAGTACTCTTTCTGGTAAAACAGAAAATCGAAATAACTCTAACTCAAATGGCAGTTCGATAAGAACTGTTCCTACAATAAAGTCTTATCTGATTATCATAATAAACATTGTGATCACACATTTAGTACAGAGTTTAGTAAAATAAAGTACAAATTAAAATGAATACCTATAGTTGTAGGTGCTTATAGACAAAATTCAATAACCTTTTATTTTGGTAGGTACCGCAATCAAAAGCTCTGGGGTTGTGGAAAATAAATCGCTTTTTATAATACCATTGTATTTATAACTATCATAATACCTACTTAGTCAACTGAATTGTTTGTATTTTTAATAGGTATCAACTTGTATTGACACATGTTTGTAGTTTTATAATAAAGTACAGAGATTCCACAATGGCATTTTGCGCCATTTCTGCGCACTCGTTTACATTTACATATTTTGATATTTCCAGTGGAAAAATGAGATGGTACAAGTCTTTGATCATTTTGTATGATCTAAGCCCTAAGGTACAAGTACAATTAATACAAGGTGGATCTAACGGTGGCGGCACTCCGACATACGGCGCTCTCCAAATCTGGCTTCGTATGCGCGTTGCCTACCCTCCCAGTCGTAGGGTGGTTTCTATTGTCACGGGAAGGACTACGTGTAATACTTAACATTTTCCGCCTGATTAAAGGCAACACAGTGTACACTTTCTGTTAAGTGTACCCATGTTACAAGACTACCTATATCTTTTTACACCGGGTGAGTTTTGCAGATTGTTGCGGGAAGCAACACCAATCGAAAGAAGATTTTTTTCATCTAATGATATACGAATTAGTTTATTTTCAGGTGTATTTCTCATTATTTTATCAAAAATTCGACAATAAATCCAATTACCAAAATTATGGAAATTTCCTAAAGAATTGAAATAGGTTTTGTAACAGATGGAATGTACGCCCATTAAAATGCACGGAATGCTAATATCTTGTACTATTTCCGCTGTAAACGTTGTCTATATACCTAAATAAAAATGAATGTTTGTATATGTTTGTATGTCTCTTATGCCTGCCTAAACCGTTCATCCGATTGCGATGAAACTTTGGGGAATAGTTGGAGGTATGGCCGGGAAGGTTTCTATGTAATAAAAGAAATTCGGTCTATCTGTACGTACGAATGTCCCTTATGCTTGCCTAAACCCTTCATCCGATTGCGACTAAACTTTGGGGGTTAGACGTATGTCCCTAAACTGTTCATCCGATTGCAGGACGAATTACTGCGAAAGTCTATATATTATTTTATACAGGGTATCAATTTTAAAACTTGCAGTCGGCCATGTTTTCCAAACTAAAGAATATATTGAAAATCCCGCAAAACCGGTTTGGGGGTATCGCGGGGGAACCAGAATGACGATATGAGTGACAACCCCCCACCCCCTTTTAACCCGAAACCTGTGATGCTCTAAGGCAAGCAAATAGGAAACAGGGCAATGAAAGCAAAGAATAGCACGCAAAGGATGCAAACGTTACTAATTAATTTAGGAAAATAATCGTCAAGATATAAAATAGAAATTCGTACCTACCTACCTTACATCTGCAGCTGCTTTAAAAACATCTCCACAAATTCTATTTATAAAAAGGGAAAGGTTTGCCGTGACTACAAAATTCATTCCAACCTGTGCCTCTGAGGACGAGCCAACATACAATTAAGCCATAAAGGGATTAAATTTACCAAATTTTTAAGAAGTAATTTAAGATTGACTATAAACTACAGTAGGTACGACGAAGTACTAATTGGCACGGGCTTTCTCTCCCTGGGAAAGAGTGTCCAAGATAAGGATGTCTATCATGGAGATCGAAACCATAGAAGATACGAAGATGGTCAAATTAGAGAAAAGATGCACAATTAAACCATTATTATCGTGCTTTAGAGAAAACAAAAAAAATTCCGATTACTTCCGAAGATATGACAGAAATTCGTTTATCGTTTATTTTTTGCTGGTCTTATTTGAACACGAGTTTGAACACATACAAGAAAGACATAAGACACTTTCTCATTGCCACTTTTTGAACTCTACAAGATCCGCGCACAACTTGCGAGCATATAGCCCAGTAAATAAAGTCCTAAAATTACCATTTGTCGCAACTAATTAGTGGAAAGCTGAATTTGTTATATGTGATACTACCTTAAGAGACAAGTATTTTCCCAAAAGTCCCCGTCTCTCTCCTTTGAGCTTTCCCCCCCAGCCCCCTCAAAGGTAGAAAAAACAGAGTTTTCATTATTTCATATATTGACTGTAGAATGCTTAGTATTTATAACAGAGTGACAACCTCTTTGTTGCTGGATGAGAATTCCTTTCGTGTGATGAACTCTTAGAAAATGGTGAAAAGTTTCTTCTTGATTTGTATGGCCTTGGATAGTACCCACATGACAAAATTGTGCAACATTAGCGTTTAATAAACGTTTAATGGTGACTTGTAACGTTAGCCTATAAGTACCATTAACTTACTATTAACGTCACCGCGACTGCTAATGTCCGCCTTCAAGAACGTTTCTCTGTAACGTCTAAATACCTACGTTTAGCAAACGTTACATCATATAACACTTTATAACATCAGCATTTAACGTTAATTGAACGTTTGAAACAAACGCCAATGCGATGTAACTCTCTTACGTTGTATAAACGTGGTACAAAATGTTTATTAAACAATACTAAATTACGTTTATATCATCCTTATACATTGACGGTTGGTATTATTAAAGTCATATTTACTATGTTGTAAGCTAACAGTGTTGTTATGTTAAGGAATGTCTTAACAATACCGTTAGCTGACAACAAAGTTAAGTCTGGCTTTATGATTGTGTACTTTAATAAACATTTTTGCACTTTGATACTAAAGTGCACAATGTAAAAAAATTCAAATTCAAAATAATTTAAATAATTTTTTACCAGAAATTTAATGTATAAAAAATTATTTCATTCACATCAATCACTTCACAAAATTGTTAAAAATGTCCCACCATTATAAAGAATGCACAGTTACACACATATTTTCATATCATCGAAAACTCATTCTAACATTACTGGTGTAATGTTCATTAGTTCCTCTTCGATTGCATTTTGAAGTTCCTCAGTGATGTGCAGATGATTTCGAAAAATATTGTATTTCAAAATCAGAAAAAAAATCTAACGGGCTTAGATCTGGAAAACGTGGTGACCACAATCCTCTGCTAATTAATCGATCATCGTAAAACTGTTGTTAGGCATCAGGGAGTATTTGTAAATGGAAAATACCTTATAGGAAAACGTTGGATATCAGGAAATTCTTGATAGAATTGCTGGCGACAGGACTGAATGGAATACGTCCATGTTCCATCCTGTAGACTTGCACTTCGATAATGTTCCTTTAAGACGAACGCGTCATGTTTTGGTGAAAAAGACATTGTGGAAGATTCTAAAAAAGTAAGGTTATACATCCATAAAATAATTTACGTCTTTTACTTACTTTTACATACTGCTAACGCCTAGGAGGAACCCTGGTAGAACTGTTTGATTTAAAATAAAAAGATGAGCGTACAAGGTGGAAAATACAAAGAGAAATTCAACACGTAAAAATCGCCGTAAATGGATAGCTTATTCAGCTTATTTGTTGAAGTCGTTGTCGTTCATCCTTGATGAAAAAAACCACAATCGCCAATGTCTAACCCAAAAAACTCCACAATTTTTAAACACTTAATTCAAACTATCCTCCACTTATTTTGAATCACATCACTCAATTCACAGAAAACCAACATTCAACAAACAAATGTTAAAGTGCAAATGAAGATAAACCGAGTGATGAGTCACCGACCAGCTATTTTTTCGTTGCGCAATGCCCAAAGGCACATTTTTAATATTACAAGAACGTTACTGTAACTGTGCAACTTAACAGTACCAAAATGTCGTTGTTGTAATGTTAAGCTTTTAAAAGTTGAACTAACGTAGTTATGTATGGTTCCGTCAACATACGCTAATAACATCACATTACTTAACATTATAATGACATCGCAACAAGGTTTTGCATAAAAACGTTGTCAAAGTAATATTGGTATAACGTTAGCCTTCTGAATGTTATTTTAACGTAATAATGTCCCGTTCCAGCGACGCAAGTCCAAAAGGTTACAATTTTTAACATTACAAAAACGTCGTAGAAAGAAAAGCCATTCAAGTATCGTTGGTATAACGTTGATGTTTTGTTTAATTGAGTTGTTTCAAAATGCAACATTCGTTTAACGTACCAAACGTTTTTTTAACATTGCTTGTCAAGTGGGTATACGTTATTTATTCTATGATAGTATTCAAATTTGAATGAGAGCAGATATTTCAAATTCACTTCCATTACTGCCAAATCTACTTTAAGATCCAACTTCGACCTAGTAAAACTACCTCCAACCTCGAGTGCAGCTCATCAACATTTGTTGTGAGTTTATCTTCAAATTTAATTTTGGATAGGAAATAGGTAAACCTAATCCAACGGAATGGGGTTGGAAGTACGCTACTGTGAGAGAAAATGGAATGACAAAAAAGGCTTTAAGGCCTGTTCCTAACACAGAGCGATTTGCCCCTAATGACTTACTGTATGTAATCTCATGCTCTTGCAAAAAACCATGCGGAGTTTACTGCAAATGCAGAAAATCCGGAGTTAACTGTTCTGCAATGTGCGAGAATTGCAACGGACTGTCGTGTCTTAACTCTCCAAACCTCGATGAAGATGCAGAGCACTTAGCTACCTTGTAAAAGGTAAAGGTGTCTTTGGTGAGCAATCAAATATTTGTAAATACTGTAAATAGAAGAATATATAACTATAATCTCTCTGTAAATAAAACCGTACAAATGTTCATTTGAGTGTGGTGGGTGGGTGGTCCGTGATGCCAATTAGACAAATAAATAAGAAAAAACATCAAAGTGAGATGGTGGCTTTAAGATGTAATGTAGGAGCTTAAGTGGATTTTTGAAATGATAACGTGCGGCGGGAGCGTTCGAGCGGCACGCACGCGCTCTCTTAAGCGGTGCTCTGTTGTTTGTACGCCAGTACAATCATAATTCATAAGACTGAAGTACTATATATTTTTAAAGCTTAAAAGGTGTGCTACATGTGTTATATATTACATTTTTACTTAATCTTACAATTATAAAGTTGCAGAGCAATAACAAAAGTGTTTTTTAAAAATTTCATTTTTTTTTCACTTTTTACTGGTATATCTGAAAAACCAAAGGTTAAACGAAAATGTTTTTGAAACAAATACTGTAGAGAGCATCTATTTAGGAACAATTAAAAAAAATTATCACTCTGGTATAAATAATAAGCATTCTACAATCAATATATGAAAACTCTGATTTTTCAACCTTTGAGGGGGGCTGGGGAGGAAAGCTCAAAGGGGAGAGGCGGGGACTTTTGGGGAAATACATGTCTCATAAGGTTGTATCACATATAAAAAATCCAGCTTTCCACTAATTAGTTGCGACAAAAAAGTTTTATTGACTGGGCTAATATCTATCGAATAAATTCCTGGAAAATGTTCGATACGTATGCTTGCACGATTAAGACGTTGTGCCTGGGTGCACCATCCTGTTGAAACCAACACTTTCCAATTTTTGTTTCTATTTGTGTGACGTACATAGTTGTATTCGTAATAAAAAGTGCTACTAAATACAGTGTGTACTTTTTTCCACGGCCATATAAAAAAGTATAGTTTGTGATAATTTCTCCGAAACAAAACGCTGTATTAAGAATCTTCCAACGGTGCTCAAAAAGGGACAATGAGAAAGTATTTTTTTGGAACAAGTAAACGGCAGTTCTAAGTTCTAATGTAAATCTGAGTGTCTTCAAAAAGTTGATAATGGAGTCCAATACTCCACAGAATTCCTTCGGCTTTGAGGTTTCGACTAGAACCACTAGAACCAGCAGGATTATATTGTGCCAGTAGAAAGGTTAAATGGCCGCAACTTACAACGCCACCTGAACCACTGAATTCATTCATTACTTCTTTTAGGGCGAAACCCTCTATCGAAGCATTTCTTGCAGAATATTCAACGTTATAACTGATGGGTATTCCAAATGAGATCATTTTTTGGTGCAAATATAATTCGGGAAAGGGGTTTCAATCCAAATTTTAAGGTATTATTTTTTCTGTAACCAACATCATACACATCTATCCCAACATGTAACTATGAATACGAAAATTATAAACACCCGTGCGAAGCGGGCAGCTAGTTCATTATAAATACTTTGCCCTCAGCGAAATACATTTTACAAACAAATTAATGGCCGTTGTTACAAACTGATATTGATTTCGACTTGAATATAACGTTTGAATCTGCTTTTTGTCTTCCTAGTCATGGTGATTGGGTTTATTGCCGAATTTTTATAAAATAATGAGAGATACACCTGTAAATGAACTAATTCGTACATTAGATGAGAAAAAAATCTTCTTTCGATTGGTGCCATTATAAACCTTCCAAGTTAACATGGGGAGCAACGATCTGCAAAAACATTTTACCTGAAACCGTCAAGAAAATCTAAATTTCAGGGCTATTTTGACATTAGAAAGTTGATCTTTACCTGACTAGTACTGTAATATTTTTGCCTGACTCCCATTACAATCCTAGTACATGCAAAATAACAATTAGATCGCTCATTGAATAAGTTATTCAATCAACGATTGGATAATTATAATGCAGACTATGTGGATATTTTTAAATATTAATATACCTACACAAAGGATAATTTTGCGCCAGTCATTAAAAGGTTTGTACGCCTTTTCGTATCTCTTTCTTGACTTTGTGGAGAGCGAATATTGCACTACGGCGGCCGCAGCTTTGGCTACATTATAACAACGTCTTGCGTAGGTACCCTTCTTCACTGATACCAGCTTTTGTACCTAGTTATGAAGACTGTATAGTGAAAAGTACAAAGCATAAACTCTAAACTGCATTAAAAATGACACTGATTGTTTTAATCATTGAATTTATAACTATTCAATGATTTTAATTATTTTGAAATCTCTACGGAAACAATTAAATAAAGTGATTTTAGCATGCGTGATTAGGTACCTATCAAAATTTCACACATAGAATAATTTAATTTGGAAAAGTTATCTACATGTTGTGGTTTCAGGTAAAATTTTATACATAATAAATACATCATGAAAGTGAGTCCACCTGACTTGGTAAATCCTACTTTACCATCAGACTGGAAATTTTGCCTAGCAACAACAACTGACATCCACCTAAACGTATACATTGATATTTGTCAAACTACTGTCAGATCAAACAAATTAAGTACATAATCGACTTTTGCTTTTATTTAAATGTGTACCTACAACATTCTAATCAAAATTTTTATGGTATTTTAATAGAAATAGAGCGGTATGAAAGAAAATGTTTTATGTCGTACTAACCTATCATAGCACATTTTATATCTGTGATACGCGGGCATAAAGTACCACTTTATGCCCTAGGGCATTAAGGATCACCATAGTAATTCGTTTATACTTAATGATAAATCAAACAAATATTTGCAGGTCATTGAAAATTAGAAACGTCAATTATTAATTGTCAATACCTACTAAATCACAAGATTGTCCTTATTTCGTATAGTTTCTGGAACTTCTTGCTCATTCACGATGAATTGAATTATTTAAAATTACGTTGGACGTTTGGATGGTTTCAATCACATTAACAAATTCGAACCACGCATACTCGATCAAACATAATGAATTATTTTGTAAACGAATTTTGACGAAGAAAACTATTTGTAAAACATAAAATTGTGTATGTACCCCGGGCATAAACTGATGTTTATACTCTCGGGCGACTAAAAAGCTCTCGGGCCATAGGCCCTCGAGCTTTTTAACTTGTCGCCCTCGAGAATATAAACATAACTATTATGCCCTTAATACATAAATAACTATTACATTATTTGTATGTCAAATCAGTTTACATTACTCTGTTACACCTCTTGATATTTTTAGATTTTTAGAGTAATGAACACAAAATGAACAAAATATGTATGTTAGACAATATATAGAAAAAAAATTCCTAGAGAGCTGTATCTATATATTTGATACTTTTTAACATGCTGGTCAATCTCAATACTTACATCTTGTTTTCTATTATGTCTAGTTTGTAGTAATTAAGAAAAAAGTCTATAACTAAGTGTAAAATACAACTTCACAGAGATCATTTGTTCAAAAATATAACAATACAGTATTATAAACTAAATTTACTTAATTTTAATTTTATGCAACTTTAATTTAAAGCCCAACATCTCAGATAATACACCTGATAATGCTGACAAAACAAATACTTTTGTGATGGTATACAGATGAGGATTGGCTGAAAATCCAGATATTTTGAATGGTGCTTCCAATTCCTATAAAAACACATCAGAGCTATACATTTTAATTAATCATCAATGTTAAACATAGTATTGAGACTTCATCATATTTTTCATGTTTGTGTCCCTATGCAATGCTCATCACATTCAATCAAATCTGAAACAGCCCCACACTCCTCACATATTCCTCAAAATTAAAACGCATATGTGCTGGATTTGGATAACAAGGTGTAGTGCGTCACAAATTAATACTGGTTCTTAAAGATTAACGTGTTGTATTTTTATAATGTACACCATGTAATATTTTTATTTCCCTCTTGCAAGTTGGTAGAACTGAATTTCCCAGGAGAACTAGATAGGAAGAATAAACACTAGTTTTTAAATATGGCCATCTACTAATTCATTATTGTAGATGGCGGCATTGATTATATACTACGAACAAGATAGGCCACAGTACAGCAAGAAACGTTACACATAAAATGATAATTATTTAATTCGAAGTGCTACTCCCACACAAAATTGAGAAGAAATTACAACAGATAGCGCTTTTCATAATGAAATTGTTTGCGTCTTGATTGTAGAAGTTAGTTTTGATTATAACTGTAATTTTCACGGCAAGAATGTTTTGAAATTTAATATGTAGGTATATGTATAGTGATGCTGATAATGACAGAGTAATTTTTATGCTTTCGAGTTTCATTCATGAATGAACGACTGTTTCGGCATATTAACTGATAGAAATGGCGACTCCGAAAAAATTAAATTTACCTGAACATGAACTAATAGTATAACCTTTTCGGAATACCCACTCCAAAAATTCGAATATCATTTTAACGAAAAAAAATGTAGTAGTCATTAGACGGTAGTATTTACTGTTTTTTTTACTGAAAATCTATTCTTGCTCACTAGTTGCATATATAAATATTACTAAATTTAAAATGAATTAAATTTTAGGGATGCCGATGACCAAAATTAAGAATTATGGCAATTTGTATTTGTGAGTTATATACCTATGATATTGCTATACAAAATACACGGATTTTACGTAACCATTACGCAAATAACCTTTCAAAGAAGAATGCCAATTTAATGTTAGGAAGCATACTAAATGAAGCTTAAAAAAAGTTGTACTTAGTCGAGTTTTCTTTATACCAATATATTTTTTTAGTTTAATGCATGTAAAGTGTAAATTGTTCGATATTCGCCTCAATCTCTCACCGCAAAAAATAATTCAAAACTGCTAACATGCCCACCTATTTATCTTATACTTAACACCGAGCTTAATACTATCTATGTTCATACTTCATATTCCCTATAACTATAAACTAAAAATTGGAACAAAATACATTAAATGTGAAAATCCGTACCTTCGTAAAAATACCTAAGTACAATTATACCTACATATAACTACTTATGTTGCCTTATATTTAGTTTTCTAGTAGATGACGATTGAGCTTTAACGGTCTTGAAAGATTTTAACATTGTCGCTGGCATTTTATAAAGTTTACAATTTACAAGTAAATCTATTATATACAGGTTATGTTCTACACATTTATTATTTTTATCTAACCATATAGGAAATTTATTTTTTAAGTTTTCGTTAATTTCTAAAACAAGTGTTTTTTTAATAAAAGGTATATGTTTGTTATTTAAAAAAAAATTGTCCATAATATTTAAACAAAACAAAACAATTTGTACAATGACATCTGTTGGCCGATATAAAAAATCTATACTGTCACTCTCGCCATAATCCCGTAAAAAAATTAAAATTTCGTTTGTTGCGCGCACTTCGTCACTTTTTTGGTTATTTGTTTTACACAATAGGGTACATGACAGTGGAAAAAGAATAAATAGATTTTTGTTTCATAAGATAGAGTAAGGTGCCAGGGTATCGTAAAATAACTTTCTTTGGTAATGTACACGAGTAACTATTATATTTTAGTAAAACTAAAATAAAAAAATAACGACATTTGTCACGTGATATCAAACGCCAATCAGAGCGCGTGACGTCATTATCCTAATCCTCTGTGCGTTTCTAGAGTTTGTCCACGTTTTTAATTTAGTGCTTGTTCCATTTTATAGTGATTGTATTATCCTCAAGTTCAGTTTTTAAAACCAGAAATGAATGGAAAGTAGGTGTACGAACGCTGATAGCAGCAAATCTGCCAAAAATTCATGTAATGATGGGAATATTTCTTGCATCAAAGTGCATCTTGCATCTTGTAGGTTTTTAAGTTAAGATAGGTTTTTACAAGAAATGTAGTTATTTAAGAGGAATGTGTACTTAAGATGCTATGTTTTTAGGTCATCGAAGCTATCATATGGAGATGATTCAGTAAGCTATGTCCAACTGTACGTAAGCGCAACTTTTTTACATTACGAACATTTTGTAGATAAAGGTCTAAATTTATAAAGTAGTTCTTAAAAGAATTTTTTTTGGAAAAACAGTTTTTATGGCGGGCGCTCTTATGGAACTTTACATTGGGTGCAGTCGAACAGAAGACTCTTAAGCGTGATGGCAACTTATTCACAGTTAAGTCAAAATTTGCCCGCAATACAGGGTGTTTTTTTGGGAGCTTTAGTTAAAAGTTTCTGGGAAAGTAAAATAGGTAGGTTTTTGAAAATTTGTACTTAGGAGTTACTCTGAAGGCCAAATCGATGTAAAATATTTTCAAAATGGCCGCACTTCCGGAAACACCGGAAGTAGATAGTAACTTCGTTATTTTAAATGGCAACCCCTATTTTTTATTGCTTTTTTGGATTCTACGTGAAATTTCACTTCTTTTGATACCCATATGTCGATATCTACCATTTATGGTTTTTAAGTTATTTTGACTTTAAGAAAAAAAATGGCGGATGCAGATGGTACCTTGATAATTGATTACTTGCAAACGGTTGTAGTCATGGCAACCTATTTTTATCAGTGCATAGAGAATGAATAGGGCTTTCTTTTAGTGCACTTAAAAAAAAGTTAAGTTGCGTACGACCGCCCCTATGGATATCCAAATTTATGAAACTTCAAAGACTAAAAACTCAGTTTTTTTAAATGGAATGACCATGTTCTTACTATTCCATGAGATAGAGAATCGAAATGGGCATATTTTGACAATACATGTTCCTATAGCTATCTTTAACAGTTTCTGACTTATTCCCATTTTATTGAATTGACACTATTTTTTTCGGATTTTCTTTTTAGTAGTCGGCCATGATTTTATAACAATTGAATTTTAAACAAATCTAGTGACACTAATCCATCACCCACTGTTATAGGTTAACATAAGTTTTTCAAAAATCGAAAAATGACTCGCAGTGGTTTCACCTATTTTGGAATTTAATTGTTATTTATGGTGAAATGGGCAGAATCGCGGCGCGTGCTTTCCGTACATTCATTCGAAAACTAGAACGAAATTGTATGAATTTTTGAAATTTTGTACCCCTAATGCACTACAAACCGTTGAAGCACAAGTTATACAAAGCTCTACAAGAGAATATTTAAGAAAATGAATTGAATTGCAAATGCAAGATTAACAAAATAAATTCAATGCAAAATATAAAAAACTTTGTTGAAACATTTTTGGTATGGAATTGTTGCTAGAACAGATATCGCATTACCTCTCTTAATTTCCAGACTTATACGTTGTTTAAGAAATTCAGTTGAACGACTCTGTTTAGATTTTTCAAAAATTTTCTGTCCTATATCCTTATTAAATGAGTTATTTATTAATGAATTATTTAGACTAGAACTAGAATCAATGGTATTAAAGAATCCATTCCTTGATTTGTTTAAAATTCGATTGTTATAAAATCATGGCCAACTACTAAAAAGAAAATGCGAAAAAAAAATGGCATCAATTCCGAGATCAATTCAATGAAATGGGAATAAATCAGAAACTGTTAAAGATAGCTATAGGAACATGTAATATCAAAATATGCCAATTTCGATTCTCTATCTCATGCAATATTAAGAACATGGTCATTCCATTTAAAAAAACTGAGTTTATAGACTTTGAAGTTTCTTAAATTTGGATCTCCATAGGTGCGGTTGTACGCAACTTAACTTTGTTTTAAGTACAGTAAAAGAAAGCCCTATTCATTCTCTATGCACTGATAAAAATGGGTTGCCATGACTATAACCTTTTTCAAGTAATCAATTATCAAGGTACCATCTGCATCCGCCATTTTTTTTTCTTAAAGTCAAAATAACTTAAAAACCATAAATGGCAGATATGACATATGGGTATCAAAAGAACTGAAATTTCACGTAGAATCCAAAAATGCAATAAAAAATAGGGGTTGCCATTTAAAATAACGAAGTTACTATCTACTTCCGGTGTTTCCGGAAGTGCGGCCATTTTGAAAATATTTTACATCGATTCGGCCTTCAGAGTAACTCCTAAGTACAAATTTTCAAAATCCTACCTATTTTACTTTCCCAGAAACTTTTAACTAAAGCTCCCAAAAAAACACCCTGTATACGGTTCACGCAAAATTGTGTGCAGTTTCCTTAGTTGACAACGAAGAAAACAATTATTTTCTTTGCCCTACCATCACGGGACTTTTACAACCCCTCTAAGTCCAAAGGAGTACTAGTGTCGATAAAGTCTTCTTTATCATGTTTAACAAGTCATGATCTAGTCCGATTATTCGAAACTCTATGGGCAAATGGCCGAATCGGTTTCGGAAGTTGTCCAAATTGTCGTCTACCGCACGCCTCAGGAGTTAACGTACGTGAAAAATGTGCTACTCATGTCAATACAGTTTTCTATATTACGTTTAATCAGCAATCGTCGAGAATCCTTTTGGATTTCTCTACTCCATGAAGCTTTTGAATGATACAGGATCTTTGGAACCAGATTTACCCGCCTGGGATACTTATCTGTGCTACAGAAAAATGTGACCACTGAGCCCTACCACCACCACAAGGTGTACCCCATGGTAGGGCACCACTTATAGCAGTTATAATTCATCACGAAATCTTTTAAACTATTTACGCTGGGGTTATGTGTTTATAATTGTCAGGACTGTGACGTCACAGACACCGCCATGACACAAAACAGTGTTTTGGCGCTAGAATAAAAATTTATAATTTAAATTGCATAAATCTGCAATAATATGATTTATTTTTCTGAAATATCATTTTTTAAAGTTATAGTAGAGGTATACGAACAGTTATAACGGGTTAAAAAAAATTTGTCATCTACCCTATTCGCACATCAATGAGATCCCGGCGCCGCGTAAGCAAATTCCTAAACAATCATAAGGAGGTAAAACTAAATCATCTCCATAAATCAATCGCGCTGCCTTAAAGACAAAATTGGATAGGTACCTATACCTATGTAGTATCATTGTAAATACAATGGTAGTATGTACCTAATACAATACCATAAAATTATTATTCAATGCTAATACGAAGACTGTAGTGTGTATCGTTTTGAAGAAAATTTGAACATAAAGGGAAACATTGTCATTATAAAATTACTTGTGATAAGAAGGGAACACGATACCATTTTTAAATACGAGTGTTATGAATGGTAGTTTCTCTTCATTAATATCAATATTACTTTCCTATGGATCTGAGACGAAGATCTTGGCTAAAATTAATAGAATTCTGCACTTGAAACGTTTATTTTAATAAGATGTACTATTACATAGATGGCTCCGTAACTGTAAGTACATACATATTTATAACGCTTTTTAACAAGGAGGTGGCCTATCTTTTCGTAAGTATATAATCAATGATGGCGGGTAGTTATAAGGTGTACTCATGGCACTCTTGTTCACAAATAAGAGGAGAAAGAGGAAACAAAAACTGTAAAATTATTCGTTATTCTACATGGTCAGTATCAGTTTTCTGAAATACCAACATTAATTTATTTATGAAACACGAAAAAAAGGAAAGTTTATTCATGTTCAAGCGAACTACACTCCACACACAATGGTTTATCAAGAAGTGCAGTACTTGAAATTATTAAACAAGTCGTCTTTTTGTAAAATCCTTTTTTATAAGCTGTATGGCAATTGTAGTGAAAGAGTTGAGGGGAATTGTACACATGCATTCTATCATTGAATAAGTATTTATACTTATTCAATGATTCTATTAAAAGAAAGTCTCTGTATATATTCTAATAATTTTTTTATTGTGTAAACAAATATAGTATCGATCTATAATGTAAGTAACCATGTGATGCTTCAAAATCGCAAACTCCATTTTTGACGTTCATTTGTTAAGATACGGTATTTAAGTGACGTTAATTCTCTAACGCTTTGACGTGGTGAATTAAAAGGATACACACGGGAATTTACTTTATTTAGAAAAAAACTGTTTGTTTTTGTCCCATTTGTCATGCAATTGTAATCATCATTTTCAGTAATACGGAAGTTTGTGAAGAAAAATTAACCATGCCGAGAAAATCGTTATTCGGGGCAATTTATATTTTTTCTCGTATTTTTTACTGAAAAGTCACCCCCGTCTCCCATGATCGCCATCCCTGATCATCCCGCGGGAATATCTGCGCCCACGAAAACCCCCCAGTAACGATTCCTAAGCGATTTTTCCAGCTTTCCACCCCTTATGCAATTTTCAAAAAATGACCAGTATTGCACAACATTTTTCTTCAAAATTTTCTGAACATTCTGCCGAAAACCGCATTTCGATACAAACTATTTGCAAACATTTATAACTTTGTTCCTTATTTCCCTAGTATATACAAAGGTGGTGGCCAGCGCGACGCAGCATAGGGTTTTCAATGGTAATTTCTGTAGAGTCTAAATAAGTTTTTTTAGAGGAAAAAAAATACTGCATCTGTTCATCAGTGCATCAGTTAATTTTATTGACAGGTGGATCTGATTTATCGCCTTTTCTGTGTAGTTAAAAGAGATGAATTTTTATTTTTCCTAGTATTTAACTTTCTTAATGTCTGATAAGAAATTGTTTGGTAAAATTATTCGACCTCTATTATTTTGGGGGAGATATTTTCTGTTGTCAACTGTGCATGATTGGTTGTTATTTTGATTTTCGGAAGAAGGGTTTCGCTTTAAAGAAGACGTGAACAGGGATATCGTCGCTTTATGCCACGTTTAGGGCTATAGTGCGGCTAATTTAAATCAGTTTTTTTGCTACAGTCACCGAAGTATTACGTATCGTTGGAGTTTTAAATCAGCTTTTGGCCAAGTTCAGCGCGGAACTTCGTTTCTGGGAAGATTTAAAAATCGACTTTACGTATCGTTGGAGTTTGAAGTTAGTTTTTTGCTACGTGCAGCGTGGAACTACGTTTCGTTGAGTAATTTATTTCGTTTCTGGCGAGTCCCATCGTGGATTATTTGTGTTGAAGTCACGGCCAGTATTGAGGGTTTGGTCTAATGTGGCGAAAGTTACCAGATTCTAGCATAGACATAAGTATTAGTAGATCGGATATAGACGACTGCACATCCAATTCTGACGTACAAACGTACGTCTGTGATTGACTTTTACGACGTAGATGAGTATTGTTTTGTTTATTTTTGTATACTTACACAACCTCATATATTTCATTTTCAATTCTGCGATTTTAATATGCCGTTGTGTTTTATCCGTGTTTAACGATTATTGATAATAGTTTACGTGATAGACCTTAAAATAACAACGTGGTCTATAATTTAATACAGATTGAAGAACAATAATATGACCTGTAGTGTAAAATTATGCAACCCTTTAAGGACGTTGTTACCAGTTCCAGAGAACACGTCTTTTTATCTGTGGTTGTAGTTATGTTAAACTTGCAATGGGCATGTAGGAGGCAGCCGATGTTGTTGGCTGCATTGCAGGATTTATTGTTAGGGTGTTTGAAAAGAAAAAGTCTATATAACAGATGCAGTATTTTTTTTCTAAAAGAAACGTATTTATACTTTTGCTCTAAAATAATTAGGGGACCTAGTAATGGACTATAAAGAAATGACCAATGAAATCCCTATGCCGTGTCGCGCTAGGCACCACCCTGTATATGATTTTTTAGGTAGGTAATGCAAGTTGTAGAATTGGATACGGCAGCATTAGGTACACAATACACATACACAATGGGTAAAATTTCCAAATTAGAAATTATGCTTTTAATTTCAACAACCTGCCTTCTTTTCCGGAGGATCGTCCACACACGTTCAAATATCATTTTACCTCAATAAAGGAAAAAGGAATGTTGACTAGGGTCATGTTTATTTGTCTCTTCTTTAGACAAATAACCATTTATTGTACTTGACTTGAAAATATTGTACAGCTTCGGATGAAGCAGTTGTCTATAATAAATTTTACAGAACTACTTGAACGCGCACCAATTTTAAGTACCTAGGTACATCTAGAAATAAATAGCTGCGCTACTGCTGCTTACCGCCATTGTGGTTTATGTAACTTTTTAGAAATGATATCTTTGAGAATGATTCCTGGAGGCAATATTGAATCTTAAATGACAAAACTTTCAACATTGAAAGAAAAGGAGCAGTTTTACAACGACTGGACTTTAAGAGTCAACAATTGCTTAAAATAAAAAATAAAATGCGTCCTCTTATTTTAGCAATATTGTAGTGCATAATTACTGTCTTTCTAATAAAATTATATAGTCGCTCTCGAGTAATGTATGTAAAATTTATATTTTCAAAAACCACCCTAAAAAATGACTGTATAAGACCAAGAGTCATTCTCAAAGTTCGATATAGTTTTACTTTACGATTTGTCAGTGGCCACCTCTATTGGTTCTCATCAATTGCATGCCGCCCTTAATGTTTTTCTTATTTTATTTAAAAATATAACAAACATAATTTATAAAAACCGAAAAATCTACAATATTCCGCGTAGCGCATTTATATCACAAACTCTGATTCTACATCACGCCACGCCACGTTATGCCATACGATACGACGTCAGAAGCATCTGAAACTGTGTATATTTATGTGAAGTTATATATGCATTCTGTGTCCACTGTTCTGACGATTCTACTCCACGCGACGCCATCTGACGCAGTATCAATATAATCGGTTTCAACATGTCGATTGTAGTACACCACATAATTAATCAGAACAATTTGAACGTGAATTTTAGGTTTTACAGTCGAAACTGTGGAAGATAGAGACTTGACATTTAGAACGTAGGCTTCGCCAAAGGCGTTAAGGTGTACTCCGAAAACACCATCCAAAATTTCCCCGCGAGCAGGGAATAACCGAATCAAGATAGAGGGTAATGGTTATGGGCGTACCACCTCGCGGCCTTATCGAATCAGTTGAATTTGATAATTATTATTAATTAAATTCCGCAAGTACGTACTTTGTCTCCAACAGCAAGAACTGTATGTAATATTCAAAAACAATGGTATAAACAAAAATATGTATAACGGGCGATCAAAAATGAGTTGCTGTCGAGTCGCCTTTGGAAGTTCAAGTTAAGTACGATTTCCCATGTAAACAAAAATTCCAAAGGTAACTCGACAGCAATTCATTTTTGATCGCATAGTACCTACCTTTAGTAAATCTGCTGCGAGTTTTAATACACTATTGGCAACATTTAATTCGTCTTTCTTATGGGGTTTTTGTTCGATTTGTAAATACAGATTTATTTGCTCTGTGATCAGAATAGACAAATTGCTACGATATTTACGATTGATCTTTGTGCCTAGAGTCATGAATCGTAAAAGGAGACTTCCTAAACCGAAGCACCAAAATAATGCTTCAATATTATACTGAGACTGTAGAGCGGATGAGTCCTAACAAAATAATTATTCATGCTGCAGTAGATTACTAAATTAGTTTCTTACCTTTAAGATTTCCATACTGAAGAAAAATATGAGAAGCAAATTTATAATAAACGTCGAAGAAACGATCATGTCAACAGATCTTTGAGGTCCCCTTTTCTTTAAATACGAACGTACTGACAACCAAGTCTTTATATTGCGTACTTTATTTAGCCGAAAGTGTGGCAGCTGAGATTTTCGCGCTCTTCTTGACGATGTTAAATGAGAGAACAACTTAGCATACAAAAATCGTTGTTTAAAGGTACGTTCCGCCACACTTAATAAAAAGAAAAACATTGTTGCAAGTATAAAACGTTGTAATAATGCAACTACCATAACCGTACGTTCCCTAAAAGTGCATTGAATATCAAGAAATATCAAAATGGTGTGATAGCTACCATAACGAATGACCAAGAGCCGCGTCAATGATGGCAATCATTGATCCGGAAAGCTTTTCTAATACAATGCTTGATAGTTCAACAACAGTTAACTGGATTTCACTGGACAAAGCAGGATCAACTGTGGTATTGCGCAGGCGGAATAGTGACGGTAAAAGTGCCAGTATAAGTGCATATAGAACGCCTATGTAAAAATAGTCCATACTCTCGGCCATTTCTTCAACCCTTGCAATAATTTGGCAACTAATATCAAATACTGATAACTCCACCTTTTTGATTTCGTGTTTTTTCCATATGGTACAACTCACTAAAAGATTTGCTTAACACAAACACTTACAAAATAATAAGTAAATACCTTTATCTGAAAGTGCACAACAAGGGCTTAGTATCGCAGTGGGTGCACATGAAGTGTCCCACATATGATTATCAACATCGGACGGTTCATACTCAGAAGTACAAGTTGGTTCTGAGCTGTAACTGCAATCTTCAGTGTTCGTAGTTACTCCCATCCATTCTGTTGCAGATGCTGCCGTTTCTCCAACATCAGGGGATGAAATAGTTTCATCCTCTTCGCTATCCCAAGATGTGCTCTCTCCTTGCGAATCTGGAGACATCTTTCAAGATCGCACATTTAACTATGGTGTGCATAACAATCTAAAATGTTTGTCTCTTCTACTTTTCAAAATAATTTGAACACAAACATTTTAGCGTGGTAATCTGTTGTAAAAAATGAAGTATACAAAGGAAATAGAATTTATGAAGTGAGTGAATGCTATTTATATATAACTATTTACTTTGTTAGTAGTAATTGAAGTGGAATCATATTAATTTAGTCCTTTTTACTGTAAATACAGCAAAACTCATAGATTCATCGATTAAGATTATTTCAGTTTACAATTTCATGTATCAAGCTTACCAGCACGTACTACAGTATATGTGGCTTAAAAATAATTTCCATATTTTCCTCCTTTGAAATCCACTTCAAATGTACCTTTTCATTTACACAAATCTATCTACAAAAAAACATACCTTTCTAAATGGACATTAAAAAGGAATTTGTGATTGAGAGAGGAATTAGCAGTACGGCTGAATCATAGACGTAGCTGTAAGCCTGATATACTAATTTTAGTCCAATTCGGACACACCATTCGGCTATTTCTAAACAGACAGATGCAGTCAATACTATCCGAATGCTCTGAATTATGTAATAAATATTGAAAAAATATTAATACCAATGCTCATTTAAGTCAATTTGTGAAATGAAAAGCATCTATATTACCAATTCTTTATTGTAAACACTATAAGGTACATAAAACGGAAGACGTTATATCTTCCAAAATAATACATAATAATTAAACCAAAATAAACACGTAACATACACTGTCTAAGATAAATACGTAAAATACGAGTTGCGAAGTGGAGGAAGTTGAGAATAAAAAAATTTAACTGCAACTCTTAAATGCAAACTGTTGGGCAATTTTGTTCATTCAAAATTTCGTCAAATTCTCCAATTTTTGTAGCAGTCATAAAAACTAAGTTTGGATTTGTTGGTTTCAGGATTTTAATAATTTTGTTGCACGTTGGTTAAAAACGTATGCGTAATAAATGAAAGAAAAAAACGATCCCAAAAACACATTAAAGCGTAAATATTTACCTAGTAGGTTTACAGGGTAGAGTGCAAATAGATGGAGGTAAGCATCGGGTGTTCGAATTAGTTGAGCGTTTGTTTGTAGCTTTTTTAAAGGTACCCAACAGCTAAGAAAAAATATTGTGAATATGCCACTGACCATTATTTTGTTCTGTAACTTCAAGAGGAGATATTGTTGGAGATAAATTGACATATGAAGACGAGAGAATATTTAGGAGTATCAGGGAACTACCTGTCAAATTAAGGAGTTTGAAAGTTGGATTGCACGGAGCTATGGTCATTTTGTCCTTTCATAGGATGAATGAATGTATATTTTACGGTTTTAGTTAATTTCGCAAGTTCATAGTTATTCTGGAATGAGTCTTTGTTTGGTATTATAGTTTCCAATCACAAAAAAACAAAGAGCATAACTTAGGAAGTTTTGTATCTTTAGGAAATCTTGGAATTTATTTCCTTCAGATGCTCAGATTGTAAAAGAGTCCCAAGTCTAGAGTCATTATAGACCAATGGCATCGCCGTCGTGTTTATGTAGTATGACGATCTATAATCATGAATGATCGGGCCCTGGTAGACAAGTCTCCCAAAAGTGACAACAAACTACAAAATCCCATTCAAACAGTGACGCCAAATAACATTACGTCGAGATTCTACTTGTGTTTTTTCCATGCTGACGCTTAAATGAAATCGCGTACACTTACCCTGTCCCCCTCCTTTCCTGTAGAATTAATTAACTTTAACTTCCCAATGGACCTGAGATGTCTCCTTTCGCTACGCCCATGATTCAATTGCCTAGAAAGCTTTTCATCCATTACATTAATAGTTTGCTGATTTTCGTCATGACTAATATCACTTTCAGATCCATTATTACCATTACTATCAATTGTGTTAGTACTGTGATATTTTGTATTTTTTCTAACCCTGCAGTCCCCAATAGATTCAGCAGTTTTAAAGCTTTCAAATCCATGATCAAATAATATATCCTCTACTCCCGACTGCCTAAAATAATGAATCAAAACATAGGTACTTATTAATTTACCTTAAGGTTAATACTTACGGAGTACATATGTGCTCTTGAAAAACAACAGTCTTTCCAGTCTCACCCTTTTCATTAGAATCTTTGCTCCTATGCTTTTGATTGTTACAATCAAAAAAGGATCTGGTTATGAGAGGAATTTTACTTTTGCGTCGTCGCCTAAAATTTTTACGTTTTTGAGTTTGACTTGGCGGGTGATGGTCGGATTGTGTGGCCATAATTTGTGAGTGAATAAAACTAAGAACCCACATCATTATCACAGGTACCACAATTTCTGTGCAAGGAACATACTAGAAAAGAAAACACGTATCGTTATAAACAATGAGATTTATTGCCCAAAAGAGACAATCTCTAATTAAAAGATGCATACTAATTTACTTCTCCTGATGGTTAGAAAAAAATTACTTAAATGTAAGATTGCTTGTGAGTATTTGCAAAACTTAAGATTTGTTTATGCTCATATGTCAAACAAAAAATAGTGCATACTTTCAAAACACATTGATTGGCCTATACAGTCCTTGAAAGTCCTATGATAAAACGAAGATATCATGTGCATGATTTATTAACTAATACAGATACAACAAACAGTTAATAACCCCATAAACAATTTTCCTATCGTTATTTATTATTAAAGGATAGGAATAATACCTACATGTTTTTGCAGATAATGATTAAAAGTAATAAGTTACAAATTGTTGATTAGACACAGACATTCGGGGCCGGGACACTTCGCTGAATGCCCACAACGCCGACACAATTTTTGGACTAGGGACACTACGCCGACCGTACCCACATCGTCGACAAGTGTGCAAGGGACACAAGCCGACCATGCCCATTTCGCCGACAAGTGTACAAAGGACACTAAGCCGAACGTGACCACAACGTCGACTCATACAGTATGGTATGGAGTGCAACACCAAGCAGCTTTGGATATTAGTTTATTTGTAGGTTTAGGACATTTTTTTAGCTTTTTTTAAAATGCAAACTCATACAAAAATTCTTAATGAACCTGAACAGAGTATGAGGGGCCTGGTTTTTCCGGTTTTTCAAATAGTCGGCGTTGTGGTCACGTTCGGCTTAGTGTCCCTTGCACACGTGTCGGCGATGTGTGCACGGTTGGCGTAGTGTCCCTAGTCGGCGATATGGACCATCCAAAAATCGTGTCGGCGTTGTGGGCATTCGACGAAGTGTCCTAGACGCCATAAATTCCTGCGCTTTCTCTACCATATTCAGGACAAAACCCAAGATAGAACAGTCAGCTAACGCAATGGGGACTTCTCTCGCAACGGACAATGTAACGTAAAAGCGCCGTCATAGCGGATAAGGCGGGAAGTATGAATTATTCTAGCTAGACAATTATTGAATAAGTCACGAGGTGTAATATCAAACATGCTTCAGTCTTTCCCTCGGTCTTTCCAGTGTGTTAAAGAAAGTCGACAACCCAAATGCAAACTGCGCTAAGAACTGAGATACCAATGTGAATAAACGGTCGATCTGACTTGCATAAATTATTAGTATGTCTTATTAAGGAGTATAAATAACCTGTAACCTATTGTTTATAAAGATTTAAAAAAAACAATTGTTTAATTTAAAATCATCATATTAATCAATTCATGATTGTGGTTATGAACAACACGATCAGCTGTACAGTTCAGATATGGCCCTAATGGCCGTTTGCACCGACAAATTTAAGTGGAGCTTAGCTTAAGCTAAGTTCTGCTTAAATTTGTCGGTGCAAACGGCCATTATACTTGCAAAATTCAAAGTAAATACTCGTAAGTGCCCCTTTCATACTGGTTTGTTTAGCAGCGCTGCACTGCGTCCTGTCCTTCTGCTTAGCCTTGGAAGGTAAGGCTCGGGTCAAGGTTAATACGATTTCTCATGTAGACAAAAATTCCAAGAGTGACTCACTAGCAACTAATTTTTGATCGCATAGTAGTTTTCCCCTTCCCTTAGACACTGATGTATACATCCACCTTTACACATTTTTTATCTTTACAGAAAGACTTCCATAAATGCTTTTTGATAGGGAATTTCATTAAATCATTACATCTTGCACAATACCATGCTTCATGCCAATCATATTTACAACAAAACAACTGTTTTAATCAGGTTGAACCCCCTTCAGAAGGGGCCTCCTCCTCCACTTTATACTTCTGGGGTTGTTCCCTAAATATTACAAAAATTAAAACTGCTTGGCTCACAAAAGGAAATAGACTCCGAGCATGCTTTTGCATTAAGTCAAGATTTAGTTCAAAGAACAACACTACATTTCAAATTTTTGAAATAAATAAGCAACAGAAAGATAATATGAAATATTTTATCCAATTCAACAAATAACCTACACAAATACAACCAGTGCTATATATATCAAATCTTGTTCCAATGTATTAATATTGTATTAAAATTGGCAATCTAAATTTGTAGATGTAAACAAGCCTGGCAACACTTTGTAAACAAAGATTCAAAATATAACAAAGCGTATTTCTATCCAAAAGCATTATATATAAAAGGGGTTATGTAATATGTAATTTATGTACCCACCTCCGTAGAATCATCAGACAGTTTACTCGTATTATAAGAATAAACTGCAATATTAAATAATTGCAGAATATAGAGACTTAACAACAATAAAAATATCTTCCCCGATGTCTGTTGTACCCACCACTTAGAGTACAATGGTAGCAACAAAAATCGTAAACTAGCAAGTCTCACAACAGTTATAATCCCATGCTTAGGTTTTGCTTTCGTAAATGAGGAACCTTTAAATAAACTCAATGTAATGACAATCTCTATTTAAGACAGTTAAATGTGTACCTCGAACCAAATCAATATCAATAAATTCTGTTTTTAAGGATTTCATTTTTAAATCTGCTTCACAATCATCCCTTTCTTTGGCGTTCGTCGATTTTAAATGAATTGAATTTTTCGGAAACCGAATATCGGTTAAGCCGTGGTGTATACGTTGTTCAATTGTTTTCTCCCACAGCTGTCTGTCATACGTTCCTATCTTTTTTTGATACCTAAAAAAGTATTACAGGTACTGAGACTTTTTAAAGGTCAATTTTATACTTACCATCCAATAAATTGATCTATACCCATTTATAACCTTGTTATCGAAAAGTTGAGCAGGATTATTTATGATTAAAACGTACTCAATTTCTTAATATTTCGGAGATTTTTTAAAAATTGAAGAACGAACAAGGTTTTATATTCAATTTCAATTAAAAGATAAATGTTTTTAAAATTCAAACATTGCTAACGTAAAATTTGACAGTAACAATAGTCAAATCAAAAGAGAGAGGCAGAGGTTCTGTGGTTACGTTCAGCCAGCGTTCAGCCAAGGGATTAAGACGAATTTACACCTCTGAGTTAATGCAGAAATTGTGTAAAGCTCTCTCTTTAGACGGTAGCATTATTGACTTTTGTTTATTTATATAAGTGGCTCGCTGGACCTACAGTGATTATAAAAGACATCGGTGACAATAGGTGTCTCATTTTTTGATTGGCTGCTGAATCACGTGGTACGCGGTAGCCATTTTGTGGCAAACTTTCAAATTATTAAGGATCCTCAGACCCTTTATAGTTTTGTATTGTCGTCCATCCGTCCGTGTGCGCTCTAACTCTTTTTAAAAGTGGCCGATTGTGTTGAAATTTGGTGTACGGGTACTTTGGACATTAAGGATGGATGCTATTGATTTTCAGGAAGCTGGTTAAACAGAAACAAAAGTTATATAGGACTTCGAGTGAATCGGGAACAGGAAAAACTGCGGCCTCAATATAATATAAATCAAAATATTTCATTCCCTAGGTCATGTATCGAGTTCGGACTTTCGCTAGATTATTCCCTATGACTCGTGTAATAATGCAATATAACTCATCTCTGTGGTATAGGTCAAAAGTTTTAGAGCAAAATGTACCCAAAATTATTCTTTACACATACATTTTGAGTTGTAAAAGCTTTCAAACGCATTATCTTGTTGCTGAAAGAGTACGAGGAAGATCCGCAACTGATCATAAGACCCATTTTGTTGATAGTGTAACAAGCAGGCTAAGAAGCGAGTACGGTTGGTTCCTAGGTTGCAAAAATTTAGACCGTTTTGAGAGTATATGGTGTGAAGGAGAAGTATTGTGTAAAGTTGTGCATGGAGATTTAACAATATTAATGTAAATATTAGTTATGTTGGTGACATGTACTGTTAATGTAATTAAGTAAAAACTGTACAGTTGTAAATAAATAAATAATAATAATAATAATAATAACATCACGTGCACATTTGATAACCGAATGTGTGAGATTCAAAGATTTTAAATTATTTTTATGAGGCCACATCGATTTTGCTCAAAATAGGTACGTCAAAATCGTTATTTATGCACCAAGATCGTTGGGTAAAAGACTAGAGGCATTATTTTAATGCCCAAGACATGAATTTTATGCATTTTTGGCGACCACGTGGATTTTGATCAAAACATGTCAAAATCGCACCAAGATCGTTGGGAAAAAGACCAAGAGTATTATCTCAATGACCAAAACATCAATTTGATCTATTTTTGGGGACTACATAGATTTTGATCAAAACATGTCAAAATCGTTATTTATGCACCAAGATCGTTGGGAAAAAGACCAAAAGCATTATCTCAATGACCAAAGGTACATGAATTTTGATCTATTTTTGGCAACCACATGGATTTTGATCAAAACATGTCAAAATCGTCATTCTTGCACTGATATCTTTGGGAACAAGACTAAGAGCATTACCTCAATGACCCAAGACATGAATTTGATGCATTTTTGTTAAAAGTGTAAAAGATGTAATACTGAGGATCCTTCGATATTTCGTTGTATCGATTTATTCCCTTAGGGATTAATGACCAGGGATTAATAGCTCTTGCGCCTTCTTGTATTCCAATCACAAGATTTCCTTAAATTTAATATCCATGGAAACAAAACAAACGTCGAAAAATGTAAATGTCAAACGGGTAGTGTATTGTTTGTGTATATACAATTGGTCGTAGATAATTAAGATAAAGTAGAGTAGGTAGGTATATTACTCGCAATAATGGCTATTATACTCTCGGAATTTTACTCCCTCGCCGCTTCCTCACCGCTGAAGCGGCTCAGTTCGTAAATAATTAAATATTCCTCGAGAATAATAGCTATCATTATTGACTCGTGATATAATCTACTATTGTTTCTGTGCTACTTCAAATAAAAAAACATACAAAGATTACTAAAATGTTCAATTAAAATTCTGCAAGACTGATATTCAGGATAAATACAGATACGGTATTCAAAGTTTTCTATTTAATTCTTCAAATCACACTACGAGGGAATTGTTACAATATGAAAACTAATCAAGGGTTTCTGTGAAACAAATACCTAAATCTATTCGTATCGTATTAGTAGGTCACACTTCAAGTTGTGGAATGGGATCATGATACTACATGTAGTATCATGGAATGGGATGATGTGATGACACACAAACTGTGATTTGTTATAACACTATGATATATAAATTACATACATCTTAGGTACACTTTTTCTGCTAGACGAGGCAAATAAAATCTTGCGAGCTCCAGTAGGAGAATACAACAAGAGAGACCCCACCCACAACAAATTAAAACAAAAATTTCCGTGAAATGAGATAACGCATCTTTAGCAGGATGCTCTTCATCATTAAACATTTTATATCCACTAGCTAGCAATTTGTCATTAAATCCACTTTCCATTATTCGTCTGGAGATGTTATTAAAAGTTCTCATAAAATAATGCCCTTTTCGCATAGCAATCACCGATTCCGATTCCATAAGTCCGGGGCCATTTTCGACAAGGTCTAGCATTGTCTTCTCTTTTGGAAACATCATATTCAACATACGTCTAGGAACGTGCGTACTGTAATTCTTGTAGTATGCAGCGCGCATTATGTTATCGCTAGTGTTATACAACGTTGGTATAATGAACCTGTTTCGAAGCTTTCTGAAGATCACATTTCTGGTGTCTAAGAGCATATTTTTGTTTACCATGGGATGTACTATAATGGTGCGGTAATCTGCGGCCAGTTTTTCTAACGTGTCTATAGCAGGCCCGTTTGGCGGATCATTTAACACGCTAATGAATTTTGCTTGTAATACGTTGCAAATTTGAAAGCAATAGAATAAGCAGAATATCATTAACAAGCGCAATGAATTACTGTTCGGAATCAAATTAGACGATCCTCCCATTGAGAAAGAACACATTGTCAGTAGACATCTTGAAAATATTTTAAAATTCTTCCTCTCTAAACTGGATTTTGCGATAATCCACCAAAATGTTGCGGTTAGTAATGGTATCATAATGATTATAATCCAAGTTTTCCATAAGAAAACTGACAGAATTAGTTTTAGTCCCGCAACTTTAGGAGATTTTGGAGTTACCCATACCACCTCATCTCTGTATAATAATATACTGAGATCATATTTCTCGTAAAATTCCAAAGCTCTAATAGGAAGCGGCAATAGGACTACGCTCATATTTGGGTCGTGCAGTTTTCTTTCATTCTTGGTTTCGCCTTCTGTTAGTGGGAATGATTTGTTAACACCTAAGACTTCAGAAATAATTTCAATAACATTTTTCGTTACAGCAGCTGTTACTGATAAACTCAGTGCTTGTGACGCAGGTAAGACTGCGTCGGTAATCATTTGTAAATCACACGGTTTAATAAGTCGGTGAGTAAGAGGAAAGTCTATTTCACTTTTATGGGCACACTCTATTTTCTTTACGTAAATATTCTTCTTACATGGTCCTACTTTTCCAAATGGATCCGAAGTATACAAAACTGGGATTTCTTGCTCTTTGCCGATTATTATAACATTCAAAATATCAAAGTACCACAAGGTTTGAAATACCACTTCAATGTTGGCATTATCCAGCACGGTTACCAGGAATTGACCACGCGGACCACGACTTGGATTCCAAATCGAACTTTTGGTAAGATTGTGTAATGTGCGGTTTAAGGTGTTCGCACCCTCTGTAAATAGCAAGTAATTGTTGTAGAACTGAACATCCCTGGTTATAAAGTAATCTAATGCAACTAGTATTTTTGGATGATTAACCGACAACATCCACATATCTTCTCTTCGCTCGAATACAAAAAGGAGCGTTTCGTCATCGCGAAATAGTTTCTGTATGCACAAAGAAACACAAGTAGATACCTTGTTTTCGATATTAGGTGAAATTAGTTGTGGTGAACACAAACTGAAGACTGTGGCAATGATCAAGGCTGTATGTTTTACGAAGTTTTTACTGTCCTGCAAGAAAAGAAGTAATTATATTACTCATTTCACCACACTAAATCTTACCATTTTCGTTAGATATTGAAAAGCGGTGCAAATTGATTCTAAAAGCGCTATTACACGTAAATTTGTACAAAACAAAGAACTGTTCTAAGCTGCCACTAACCAGAGAAAAGAACGAAAAGAAAGGGTTCAATTAATAATTGGTTGAGTAAATTACCAATATAGGTACCTACTCGTATGTGTACCTACCGTTTATCTAAACGCACGACCCCCGGGATGATGAATAACTTATGACAGTTACTAGGTATTTGATATACGCCGCGCCGCCGCTATGAAGGAAAACGTTTAACGGAATAGTAAATATCCAACAATTATGTAAATATTAGGTACTTGCAGATAATGAAGAATTTATAGTTTTTCGTGTTAGAAAGTCATTAAATAATATATTGAGCTCAATAAACGTACGACAAATGATTAATTATTTCGTTATGAAATTGTTAGCGGTATTTTGATAATGCCCCGCCTTGTCCCTGATGGCCCTGTAGTCAACAAAGGTGTCGTTTCGGCGTCTCCTGCAGCGATGCAGACAGGTAGAGTTTTCTTCGTGGCCAGTCAGAAATTGCCGTAGATAATAGTGCAGCTCGCCGTATCTTTGTCATTACCATTAGAATCGGAGATCACCAGCTAGGTACCTGGTTCAGGACGTCCAATGTTCCGATTCATTTTCTTTGCTGGCCTAATCTGCTCTTGCCTCTTTTGCTTACCCTTACAGTCCTGTAGCCCGATGCTATTCTCAAAACCGCCACTCTCTGGACGCGTTCCAGGGTCTGCCAGATATTTCCCAGCTTCGCCGGCGTGTACCAGACTTCTGCGCCATAGGGTATTGCACTGCTCACCCACCGCGGAGTTTATGACTCGCATAGGAGCCACCAAATGCTCCAGAACAAACTCCGCAGCTTGTTTGACATGACGTTGGGCTTGGCCTTTTCGGATCGATGTTTGACGTGTTGAACGAAGATTAGGTTACTGTCGATCGTTACTCCAAGCATACGGACTGTTCGATGTTCGTTCAGTTGGTGTATCGGTCATGCTGATCTTCGCTTCACAACCGATTTATAAACTTTTAAGTTCGCGTCGGCGTTCGCTGTTGCCGTTCGTCGTTGCAGTTCGGAGTGCTAACAATGAATTTTGCTCGGAATTTTGTATATTTATAAACTTTGTAGCGTCAAACGGTACGGCGAGCTTATTTCGGTTAAGGTATTTTTAGTTTACAGTTTATTCATGAAAGGGACAAGAATTATTTCTGTGAAAGATTTATGATGAATGAGCATAAATATGAAATACTTATAAAGGATAATAATGCACTTCACACCCCATTGACTTTGACCATGTTTTGGGCTGGGACTTTGACACTAATTTGCGCTCCAAATGTGTACTCGTTTTCTATTGGTCAATAAGATACCTACCTTTTAGCTCGAAATGATGGACGTTTCGCGGCACTTTTGAAGTTGGATGGCAGTCGGTTCGATATGGGTGGCACGAATGAACTCCTACGTTGTGTAATCGGTTCTTGCACGTGTTAGGACGTGTGACATAATCGAGAAGGGAATGAAATAAAAGACAGAACTTTTGTGCGTAAGAAAAGAGCAAATAAATATATTATGCACACAACAAGACAATACCAGGGAAACCTTCTACGGGACAATATCCCGGTATAGGCCAGACAAATACATGAAATATATAAATCACCTACAGCAATAACATGCAAGAGAAAATACACATTAATAAAACATCTCAAATTGTATGATAAAAATCAGGTAATCAAATCAAATACAATTAAACAAGTTCATAAAAACAAAATACACCAGACATCATAAATTCAGTGGAAAACCTGATAAATCAATTCAGTACAAAAACACATCAAAATCGAGATCAAAATACCTGTACGATCAATTGAGATAAGACAACTCGTAAAATAATAAAGCGCATTTTTTTAACCGAAATAGATTTTGTATTATTTATTTTATTTATTTATTTATTGATTTTCATGCTCCACAACAGATAACAAACATCCAATTACTGTGGAGCAGTTCACAAATAAATACATTTTTTTTATGTCTTAACTTTACGGACTAATATTAAACATAAATAATTTTCTAAGCCAGTTAATTGAAACCACTTACATTTTAACACACTTAACCTAAACAAAAACCCAAATAAGATTATATATATATAAAAAAAATAAAAAAATGTGTTTGCAAAAAGGGTATGCAATGTGGGAAAGAGCGAGATGTTGATGATAAATTCAAAGTATGGATGTACAATTGTCGACGAATGATTTAAAACTATTTTGAAATATGTCAACATTTGTTGAATTACAGATGGTATTATACAGACGTTGCATATCAACAACAGGCGAAAAGGCTAGCAAATTAGTGCGGGAATAGGGCATATAAAACAGGGTACGTGTACGGCGAAAGAAAGGTGAAACATAAAAATGAATTTGTGCCAAGTTGGGTGGGTTGCTTATCGTTCCGTGCAGTAATTTGTACAGATAGACGAGCTGGGCTAATTGATGTCTCTTTTCGACACTTTCCATATGAAATGACTCTAGAAGTTCAGAATATGGAATAAAATATGTGTACTCTCCACTTTTTTTTATAATTTAAATATCGCAAGAATTTCTTCTGTACTCTCTCCAAACTTCTTTTGTGTGTTGAACTGTGAGGTTTCCAAATAACGCACGCGTATTCCAGGTGTGGTTTCACTATGGATGAGAACAGAAGCTTTAATGTCCTTATTTTTGAGAAGTTCTTACCAAGCCGAATTATGAACCCTAAGTTTTTAAAGCTAGTTGCTATGCTTTTTTGTATGTGAGCATTAAAAGTTAATCTGTGGTCTAAGATAACTCCCAGATGTTTTATTTGCCATATACGTTTTAGTACCTTTCCATTTACAAAGTACGTATGGGTTATTGGGGATGGCTTATTAGTGAATGTAAGAACAGCACATTTGGACACATTAAAAGCGAGTTTATTGGTGCCAAGCCAATTATTCACGGCGTCTAAATCCTCCTGAAGGTCCTCACAATCATCTCTAGATAAGATAGCTTTGAATAATTTTAGATCGTCTGCATATAACAGAATTTCTGACGTTTTCACCACGTTTACTACTCCATTTATTAATAAATTAAAAATGACCGGCCCCAATACCGAACCTTGGGGAACTCCGGAACTGGCTGCATATAGTTTGGACTTATACCCTTGGAACCACACGTATTGATATCTCTCCGTAAAATACGATTTAAAGAGATATAATAAATCTAGTGACAACCCATAATATTTCAATTTTGACAATATAACCGCATGATCACATTTATCGAACGCCTTACACAAATCAGTGAAAATAGCATCTACATTAGCGCCTTGATTCATACTGCTCGAAACAAATTGCGTAAAATTAAGCAGATTTGTCACTGTGGATCGACCCGAAGTGAAACCGTGCTGACAATTTGAAATTCGTGGCATTACATGTTGAAATACTTCATCCTTCAAAATAATTTCAACAACTTTTGCCGGTACTGAAAGTATAGAGATCGGTCTATAGTTGGAGGCCGAATGTCTGTTTCCACTTTTAAATATTGGTGTTACCTTAGTGGTTTTCTAAAAGTCGGGAAAAGTGTTCGACTTAAGACACTGGTTATAGATTATGCATAGCGGTTTACTCAGTAATTCAGAGTAGCCTTTAAAAAAGTATTGAGGAAGCAAATCCGGACCCATGGACTTCTTAGATTTAAGTTTCTTTAAGGCTCTTAGAACACAGTGTTGATCAATGTGTTTTAGTACGAGAATGCCATAGTGATCCATCATGTCTGAGTCGTGTGAATTATTGCAAGGGTTCAAATTAGGCGGAGAAGGTGAATACACTGATTTAAAGAAATCAGCAAAAGATGTCTGAGATTTCTGGACCGGTAGTTGCAGGTACGCCACAATGCTCTATTTCATGCACTCGATCGGTCAGTTTTTTGCTATGCTTCACGTGAGCCCAGAAACGTTTTGGATCACGCCCAATGTCTTTTTCAATATCGGTTATGTATTCCCGATAAGCTGATGTGATATCTTTTTTCACAACGGATCTTAGATGACTAAATTGCAGATATACGTTGTCTGACCCGGGATCATTTATTTGACATAGACGTTTGTATTTTTTAAACATCTTATGTTTATGTTGAATTGTTCTTATTAGCTCTGCAGAAAACCAAACAGGATATGAAGATTCACATCTAATTTTCATTTTGGGACAGAATTGATCTAAAATACTATATACAATGTTGTAGAATATTTGAACAGACTCATTTACATCAACACATGTGTTTAGAACAGACCAATTTGTGGATGTTAACGCATGATAGACCCCAACAAAATTCGCTTTACCAAAATTATACGTAAGGTCACTCAATAACTTAGTTTTAATTACAGGAATGTTAAGCTCACATTGCAACAATAAGGCGGGATGATATGTATCCAGTTTTACTAATAAATCAGGTGTTTGTACATGATTTACAGTTAGCGAAACTATGTTAGTAAGAACTAGATCTAGGGATTTGCCAAAACTGTTCATTACATTATTTTTGCTTGATAAGTTGTTAAAGTTGATAAAGTTGTTCAGTTGTACGCATAGGTGGTCACCCTTCAATAAATCATACTCTGCACCAAATATTGGAAGATTGAAGTCTCCAATAATTAACAAGTTACCTTTCACAGGTTCCGGCAACGAGTCAAACATATTGTAAAAGTCATTGTAATTATGTATCTTTGTATTTGATCGAAAGTAAACAACGCACAAGTGCATGCAATATTTTGAACCTTTACCTATTTTGACGAGTAAGGTTTCTTCGAGCGAAATGTCGACAAGTTCCAAGTGGAAGCGTTTATCGATGGCCACCAAGACGCCACCACCATCCTTAAGATTAGTTGTGTCTTTATTCCTATCTTTTCGGAATACAACGTATCGACCATCAAATAATTCCTGTGACAAGATACCTTCATTTAACCACGTTTCAGTTAAAACTACAATATCGTAGGAGTTTGAGGAGACATTTAGAAAGAACTCGGACAATTTCGACTTTAGTCCCCTCACATTCTGGTAGTAAATGCGCATATTCTTTAGACTACCTTTCGTTATTGGAACTCATATTTTACTCATTATAGTTAAAATACTTAACTCTAAATACTTATGGGGTTTGTAACATAAAATTTTCTCCATTCGCAAAACACATATAATGTAAAAAAAAATACTTTTCCTTAGAAAAGTGAACTAAATTTAAAAGATAGCGAGCGATAATTAATAATATTAATAATAAGGTCGGATTCATTAAGACACATCATTGAAGTCATTGACGGATGTTTCGTAGCGGTAGCGGTAGCGTGTAATTTGTAGCGATATTAACTGAGTAAATTTAAACACAAACAGAACGTCTAACGATCAACAACCAAAGTCAAATTTTTATTACATCTATTTACAAGTTATACCTGCGCTCTAATCTAAAGACATCAAACTGAACGTTTATGCTATCTAGCGGTCACACATAAAATATCAAATAAATAAATACAGTTTGTAATTCAACATACCGCCCACTGTTTCGAGTGAGTTAATCGAAACATGAAGCAAATCAAAATGATCAGTCTGTCTGTCAGACAAAAAACAACTAAAACTATCTCGAAAACTATGTAGCAACCGGCAGAAACACAAGCCGATTAGTAGGGCGCGTATACACAGCACTCGCGGTGCGAACAGTCACAACACGCACCTTAGAGTCATTACTATGGTGTACTCTTTCGATGACACCGAGAGGCCAGGACAATGGCGAAGAAGATAGTCCAGTAATATACACGAACGATCCTACGGTGGGGTTAGGACAGTCACGAGTCCATTTTTGACGCTGCATTTGAGTATGCAAATACTCACTGCTCCACCGACGCCAAAAGGATTGAGAGAGAGCATGAATTCGTTGCCACCGAGATCCAACACTAATATCGGTATCAGTAAGGCACAGCTCCGGTGGGGCGACCAACGGTCTTCCGACGAGTAAATGTCCTGGGGTCAACACGTCGCTACCCTCGCGGGGGTCTGAGGAAATCATTCCAAGCGGGCGACTATTAAGCACAGCTTCGACGCGCGCGAAAAAAGTGCTGAGCTCTTCGAAAGTGAGGATTGTATTCCCAATTTGCCGGTACATAAGTAGTTTCATTAACTTAACTGCAGCTTCAAAAATTCCTCCAAAATTGGGTGCAGCGGGTGGATTGAAACACCACTTCACCTTTAGCGATGCGAGCTGAGTGTACAGTTCGTCTTGATGATTCTTGAGGAAAGTCGTAACTTCCTTTAGCTGTCGTGCGGCTCCTAGATAGTTCCGCCCACAGTCAGTGTGTAAGGTAGCAGGAAGAGAACGACGGGCACAAAATCGATGAAAAGCAGCCATGAATGCAGCGGTAGATAGTTCGGTAACAGCTTCTAGATGTACGGCTTTGCTTGCCGTGTCCACGAAAATGCAACAGTATGACTTATGGCGTGGACTATTGCGGCGGGTGGTCTCCTTGGTCTCAAAGGGACCTGCAAAATCCGAAGCGGTCGTGTAGAATGGCGGAGCGGGTTGTACTCTGCAAGCAGGCAGATCGGCCATGATCGGCTGCCGCGGAGCAGCGGTAAGGCGAAAGCAAGGGCGACACATGTAGATTCTCTGGCGAATCAGCGAATGCGCGGCTAGTATCCAAAATTTCCTCTGGATGAAACTCATCGTTTGGCGGGGGCCTGCGTGTAACAATTGTTTATGATAATAATCACAGATTAGTGACGAGAGATGACATTTTTTGGGGAGTAGTAGCGGGTACTTGCTTTCAGATGGTAGCAAGCTATGTCGTAAGCGACCGCCCACCCTGAGGAATCCCTTTTCATCGATGTAGGGCGACAATTTGGAAAGGCGTAGCGGAACTTTGTTGGAATTAGTGGACTGTAGTTGTTTGATTTCTTCGGAGAATTCAACAGCTTGGGTAATGCGAACACAGCACAATAAAGCGTCACTTAACTCAGAAACGGATAGCGGACCAATTTTCCTAGCGGATTTGCAGCTCGCATTGTGAGCAAATCTCCGAATGTTCGCAACGATGCGTTGAAGGCGTGACAAAGATGAGAATCTCTCTATGATGTCTAGCGGGGAGTCGGTTGCTGCGGGGTTTGCTTGAACTACAAGTGTGGTAACCTTGCGCTCTGGAATTTCATCAGGTTCCATCGGGATGGAAATGTTCCAATGCTCTGGACTGCGGCTCATAAAAGAGGGACCATGCCACCATATCTGATCGTCAATACAACCACGCGAGGCACAGTCTGCGGCGTTAAACTCGGAAGGAACGCGCGCCCATTGGTAGTTCTTAGTAAGGTCAAGAATCGTTACAACTCTATTAGCGACAAATGTATTAAGAAGGTGCGGTGGAGTCTTCAACCATGCGAGTACTATGGTGGAGTCCGTTAGCATATGGATCGACGAATATGCACGACCGGGGTTGGCGTGCAGCACGGAGTTTATCAATTGAGAAGCCAGAAGACTGCCCAGTAGCTCCAATCGGGGAATAGATAGAGTCTTTAGCGGGGCAACGCGACTCTTGGCTTTTACTAGATGAGCTTCAGCGAACTCACCTCGCTGCACATGTAAGTAAACACACGAGGCGTAACACTGCTTCATCAACATTGAAGCATCGCGGTATTCGAAATTTGGGTAAACTGCTCATGACATGTAGAAAATCTTTCCAGTTTGATTGTATCGGTTCGGGTAGCGGCTCATCCCAATCACTGCGTAACAACCAAAGGCTCTGAATGAACTGCTTTGCTCGGCAGATCACTCCACACAGAAGCCCAAGGGGGTCGTAACATCGACTAACGTAACCGAGTACTGAACGTTTCGTAGCGGGGCCTTCAAAGGGTTTAAGGCGATAACTGAACGCGTCTTCTTGCGGTAGGTAGCATAGACCAAGAATTTTCAGCATGGGATCACCAGTACTGAATTCCAGCGGAACTTCCTTGTGGGAATCAGGAATGTCGTCAAGCACTCGTGGATTGCTCGAGCTCCATTTGCGCAGAGGCATGCATCCTGCGTCGAGCAGCTCAGTCAGTTCTTTGCGAAGTTGCTTGGCCTCAGCAATAGAGGAAGATCCTCCGACGTAATCATCCATATAGAAATCTCGAACTAAAGCAATAGCGGCATTTGGGAAGCGGTGACCTTCGTCAGCAGCGAGTTGGCGAAGGGTGCGTTGAGCAAGAAAACTACTGCTTGCCATACCATATACGACACGAGTTATTTCGTATTCTTGAAGCGTATGTTCGGGAGATTCACGCCAGAAAACGTGCTGATGCTGCCTGTCTTCTGGATGGATGGCGAGCTGGCGAAACATCATTTTGATATCACTGCACAGTGCGACGTTGTGGAAGCGAAAACGGATAAGAATGTCACTTATGTCTGCCTGCAGCTTCGGTCCTGGTAGAAGTAACTGGTTCAGAGACGTCCCTGTGACGTCCTTGGCGGAAGCGTTGAAGACGCACCTCAGTTTGGTGGAGGTGCTCTCCTTCATGACGCAGTGGTGTGGCAGAACATAACTTGATGGTGAAACACTTAGTTGCATGTGTTTCATTTCGATGAACTCTTGCATGAATGCGGAATACAATAACTTTACTTGCGGTTGACGCCCTAATCGTCTTTCTAGCGATCTCAAACATTTTTCAGCGGCGCTGCGGTTGGACAACTCTTTAGGATTGGTTCCTGGGCGGAAAGGGAGGCGCAGTACGTATCGTCCCTCAGAATCCCTGGTATGCGTGTTGATGTAATGCTCTTCAGCAATGACGTCCTCTGGGTTTGTTTGCGCCGACGGCATGGAAACTTGTTCAATTTCCCAAAAGCGAGTAAGCGTAGATTCAAGCGGATGCGATCGAATTAGCATGGCAGTAGCAGAACATAGCGGCTTCAGTTCGGGGGTCGCTCCAAAGATAACCCATCCAAACTTTGTCCTTTGGGCAGTAGGTTGGCCAGGAATTAGGTTTGGAGTTTCTTCAGTCAGTAAATTAGCGTGAGCGTCTGCGCCAAGCAAAATGTCGATCTTCTTTTGTCGGTGAAACTGATTGTCTGCAAGTGGCAGCTGAGAAAATTTGCGGTAGAGGTCTGGCGAGAGTTCAGCAGTAGGTAAATCATCACATATGTGCGGTAGGACACTGGCCTCGGTCACATAAATTACCGGGGGCTTGAAGCGTGATTGAAGTGTTAATTGAACAGAACCTTGGGAAGTAGATTCTCTTCCGCTCACTCCGAGGATGCAGCGAGCTTCTCGTTTGCGTTGTAATCCTAGGCGGTTTGCGAGTTTACTTGTCACAAGACATCTTTGACTGGCGCTGTCAAGTAGCGCACAAACATCGTGCAGATTGCCGAACGAATCCTGTATTTTACACAAGATGGTGGCCAGAAGCACCTGGTTTGTAGATACGCACGACATGACGGCTGCGGGTCTTTCTTGAGCGGTGTCTGTACCAGTGAGAGGCGTGGAAGACGAGGTAGTAGAAATTGCGGGAGGCGATGCAGTACTTGGCACGGTGTGTACAGCGGTTGGAAGGTGTAAAAGACTGTGATGAGCTCGGTTGCAGATTCTGCAGAGGACTTTACTTTTACAGTCTTTGACCTCATGTGACCCAAAACAATTGAAGCAGGCGTGAGAAGATTTGATAAAATTGGTACGATCAGCAGGCGACAATTCTCGGAATTGCTGACAGTGAAAGGTTTGATGATCAGCGTTGCAGTATCTGCATTTCGGTTGAGACGACGTTCTTGCTTGCGTGATGTGGGTTCTAGATTGATTTGGTTTTGGTGGCGCGAAGAAAGCGGTTTTTGATTGGGTAGGAAGAACGCATTTGACGTCCATTTCGTGACTGCGGGCTCTTTTCTCAACGTGATCCAAAAGTTCAATTAGTTTCGGCAGTTCGCTAGCATTCTCGTTGTCGAAACTGGCTTTGATTTTTGGATCGCAGTTATTGTACGCAATTTGAAAGAGGATGAAATCAGCCAAATCGTTGAGCTGGAGATTGGCTAACGCGGATGTCGAAGTGCGGTGAACTTCAAGGTAATGAAGTAGATCACCCTTGTTAACAAATTTGACAAGTCTTTGTATGTGAAAGGCAGCTATGCGGCGGTTGTTAGCATACCGTTTTTTCAAAGCGTCATAAGCGGGAGCGTAATTTGAATCTTGTAAGATGAAGCGCGATACGGTTGCGTGTGCTTCTTTAGCGGTATATAAACGTAAATATTGAAGCTTAGTGGCGTCATCAATACCTTCTTGATTATGCACTAAACTATCGAAAAGCGATATAAAGTTTTCCCATTTTTCAATTGCACCGTCAAATATTGGAATCTGAATTTTTTGCAGCGATGGACCCTTAGTATTAACCGTAGCGGTAGCACCAACAGTAGCGACAACGTTTGATGCAATGATGCACCGTTTTCGATAACCGTTAGGCAGTTCTTGTTAATAAAATCAATGAGTTCAATAAATGCCTCGAGATCATTGATGTTTACAATGTCCGCTTTATCTTTATCAACATTATAGGTGATCATGTCGACGTTTAACGCACGAAAGGATGCTTCAAGCGTATCCATTCGCCGTAAATATGTTTTGGCAACGATAATTGAGAAATCGCATTGCCTTACCTTTGTACTGAGTGCGGTGAGCTCTTTAAAGCTTCTTTGCGAATTGTTAGAATCTTCTTTGAAGCCATTGTGAATATTGCACTTGCACTTGCGATAATAACTTGTAAATAACACACGACTTTGCGGTAGCGGAAAGTTCAAGTAAAAGCGGTATCCGTCTCGTTGGATGTAATGTTTAAGTTGGTATCAACTATTATATTTTAGTTATGTATGCGATAGAGTAAGGTTGGCAATAGAACTAAGAATGATGTCTACTGTCGTGGTTTTCTTCGAATAAATAGTATAAGTACAAGGTACTAATAATTATTTAACGTACAAGTAAACAGTACAATTGGCGACGAGTGTAAAAGGTGATTCGTGGGTGAAATCAAACTGGGGTCTGTATTCAAGGAGTACACGACAATTTACGTATACACTACACGACATACAACAAAATGGCGGCAAGCACGTTTGGTCACATTGAAGAATTTTGCGTTCAGAAAGGAAATTGGAGATTATGGACGGAGAGATTGGAACAGTACTTTATAGCCAATGATGTACCTAAAGAAAAGAAAGTACCAATATTGTTAACACTTGTCGGGTCTGAAGGATATTCTCTAATTAAGGATCTTTGCACTCCCGGAGTGCCGGCAGAAAAATCATTTGAGGAATTAAAGAAGCTAATGCTAGAACATTTACAGCCAACACCAAACAAAATTGCGCAGCGTTATAAGTTCAAGAACCGAAAGCAGGGTGATGAAGAAACAGTTTCGGAGTATCTTGCTAGTCTAAAACAACTGTCTATCAATTGCGATTTTGGAGACAATTTAGAATCGAGTTTAACTGATCAACTAGTGTGGGGAGTGAGAAGTGAAACAGCTAAACGCAAACTATTGGCGGAAGAACAGTTGACGTACAAGAAGGCGGTTGAAATCACATTAAGCCTCGAAGCGGCTAATCGGGACGTGAGTGCTATAATGAACAAAAGCGAAGTGCAAGTCAATTCTGTCAATTATTTTAAACGCAAAGAACCAACGTATAAACGTAACAGCAGCACTAGTTTCAATAAAGGCAGTGATTCACAAAGTACAGAGCGACCAAAACAAGGGGTCAACGTCCGACAGCAATCGGCTGATTTTAAAAAGACAAGTTGTTATTGTTGCGGTGGACAAGGTCACTACGCCAAAAATTGTAAATTCCGGAGCAGTTATTGCAGCGGTTGCGGCAAGAGGGGCCACACAAGTAGAACATGCAGGAGAGGTCACATTTCAAACAGAAACCACTACATGAGGGGAGAATCGAGTGAAAATCAAGTGGAAGACGAATTATCGTATGGAAGTGACACGGAACAGGAAATTTTATTTCATGTGGACAATGAGGTCAAGGTTCAAGTAGATGAAGACCCAAATTTAGATTTAGATGTGCTATTCAATATTTCTGAGGAAAATGCAGAGAAATATAAGAGTGTCGAATCAAATTGCAATGGTTCACACGAAGTAAATTTTAATAATATGAGCAAAACGAAAGTCAATCCTATTACTATAAAATTGTTAATTGAGAATAAGATAGTTGATTTTCAAGTTGACACAGGATCAAATATATCTGCAGTTTCTAAAGAATTTTATGTTAAGTTTTTCAAGGGTAACCGATTGTTTACTACAAATGACATTTTCAGGAGTTACGTAGGCGATTCGATCGTTCCTATAGGTATAATGAAAGCACAGGTTAAATGGAAAGGTAATGTGTACAGTTTGGATCTGTACGTTGTTCCCAATGGCGGTCCTCCGATAATAGGGAGAGTCTGGTTAAAGAAATTAAAAGTCAACATCGATTTTGAAGGTAATCATGTAAATTTAATTTGCAACTCAGCATTTAAAAATGACGATTCAGATTTAAATAATCTATTAAAAAAATTTGACAGCGTATTTACAGAAAAGGTAGGTTTATACAATAAAGAGAAACTACATCTAGAAATGAATGAAAATTTTAAAGGGAATCCGATTTTCCTAAAGCATCGTCCTCTAGCTTATGCTCTTAAAAGCAAAGTTGATTTAGAATTAAATAAACTAATTAATGAAGGGATTTTAGAAGAAGTGCCATATTCAGATTGGGCAACTCCTATAGTGCCAATATTAAAGAAGGATAGTTCTGTTAGGATTTGTGGGGATTATAAGGTAACTGTAAATAAGTTTCTTAAGGATGGCAGTTTTCCTATTCCAAAAGTTGAGGATATATTTTCAAAATTCTGTGGCGGTCAACAGTTTACGAAGTTAGATCTTAGTATGGCTTATCAGCAATTAGAATTAGACGAGGAATCAAAATTAATAACCACAATTTCAACTCATAGAGGTTTATTCAAATATAATCGCTTACCTTACGGGGTTAAGCCAGCAGCAAAGAAATTCCAGAAAATGATAACTAAATTATTAGGCAACATTGAAAATGTAGGGATATTCTTCGATGATATTTGTATAACTGGAAAGAATCGAGTTGAACATTTAAAAACTCTTGAACAGGTATTGAATAAACTAAAGGATGCAGGGTTAACATTAAAGAAGAATAAGTGTGCATTTCTCAAAGATAGTGTTACATATCTAGGACACAAAATAGATTCAGAGGGTATTAGTATGTCCATTGACAAAATTGAAGCTATACAAAAGGCACCAAAACCTGAAAATGTGAAGGAATTGAAAGCATTTCTTGGCACAGTAAATTATTATGCTAAATTTTTACCTAATTTATCTACTTTATTACAACCTTTATATAAATTATTGAAACATGATCAAAAGTGGGAATGGTATGAGGAACAAGTTAGGGTTTTTCGCAAAGTAAAAGAGTTGTTGACATCTGAACAAATATTAGTTCACTATAATCCGAAATTAGAATTGCATTTAAACACAGACGCCAGTCCAGTGGGTATAGGTGGTGTTATTGCTCATATATTACCTAATGGTGATGAGAGACCAATAGCATATGTTTCTAGAGCACTTTCAGATACAGAGAAACGTTATTCTCAATTAGAAAAAGAAGCGCTTGCTATTGTATTTGCAGTCAGAAAGTTTCATCAATATTTATTTGGACGTAAATTTGTCCTATGTACTGATCACAAACCTTTAACAATTATTTTTGGGCCGACTAAAGGCATTCCAGAAATGACGGCTAACAGAATTCAAAGATGGGCATTATTTTTAAGTGGGTATGACTATGATATACAATATGTGAAAGGTATTCAAAATAATGTAGCAGATGGGCTATCTAGATTACCAAGCAAACTAAGTAATGTCGATGAAATAGATACTTCATATTTATCATATGTAAACCGATAACATTCCTTGTTTAACAGATCAAGTAATCAGGAAATTTACGGAAAAAGATATCATATTAGCTCAAGTTTACAAAAATATTGAAAACGGATGGCCAACACAGTTACAGTCACCGGAATTAAATCCTTATTTTAACAAGAGACGAGAACTGTATATTGATCAAGGATGTATTTTAAGGGGTTACAGAGTGGTTATTCCTGATGCTTTACAATCAAAATTATTAGGTGAACTGCATATTGGACACATGGGCTTAGTAAAAATGAAAATGTTGAGTCGTAGCTACGTTTGGTGGCCTTCACTAGATAATGATTTAGAAACGCTAGTTAAGAGCTGCGAAGCGTGTTTAGAAGAGAAAGATTTTCCAGCAAAAACTAAAATTAATAATTGGTCGTGGCCGACTGGTCCAAATATCAGATTGCATGCGGATTTTGCAGGACCTTTTTTGAATAAGCAATTTTTAATCATTACGGATGCATATTCAAAGTGGGTAGATATCAAAATCATGAGTAATATCACAGCTGCTAAAACAATAGAATGTTTTCGTGAATATTTTTCATTGTGGGGAATTCCAAACAAATTAGTTACAGACAATGGTAGCAGTTTTATGTCACAAGAATTTCAAAATTTTTTACGTAATAATGGTGTAGTTCATCAGACTACAGCACCATACTGTCCTCAAGGTAACGGAGCGGCGGAGAATGCTGTTCGTACGTTTAAAAACAAAATCAAAATACTAGTTAAATACTTACCATTACAACAAGCATTGCACAATTATTTGTTCGCTTATCGAACAACGCCACATTGTACAACAGGTTTGAGTCCTTCTGAGCTACAAATAGGTAGGAAGATGATAACCAGATTAGACAAAATTAAACCAGGTAGTAACTTAAGAAATAAAATTGAAAGTAAACAACAAAAACAAGAAATGAATTTTGGAGGTAAAAGGAAAGTAAACTGGGAAATAGGTCAGGATGTTATGGTCAGGGATTTTATAAATTCGAAATGGGTAAAAGCAGTCATATCTAAGCAAATTACAAATGATATTTATTTAGTTAAAACTAAAGATAACTTAACTTGGAAAAGACACACCAATCAGATGATAGATTATGAACCTAATAGTGATATGGAAATTGTTAAAAATTCAGTTATTGAAAAGGAGCATTCCATTGTTAATACAGATAATATTGTACATTGTAATGAAGCTACTACACAAAGAGACAAACCGATTGTAGAGAACAAAACCGATTCAACGGATCCTACAATTGTAAGTAAGGATATTGAACCGAGTTTGACATCTCAAAGTACAGTTAAGAATAATAATGTAGAACCAATTACCGAAATTACTTTAAGACGATCCGAAAGGATTAGGAAACCGAAAATCATTTATGATGTTTAGTTATATTTGTTATTGTATTTGTAACTTAAGAGGGGGGTATATGTAATGTTTAAGTTGGTATCAACTATTATATTTTAGTTATGTATGCGATAGAGTAAGGTTGGCAATAGAACTAAGAATGATGTCTACTGTCGTGGTTTTCTTCGAATAAATA